CCCTTGGGGGATGATCGAAAACAATCTTGTATCACAAGCTCTAACAAACTTGTGAACAAAGCAAGCTCCTGCCAAGGATCAAAAACTTTTGTTATTTGTACTTCATATACCTGGCAATGAAGAGATCTTTCCAGTTCTATGAGCTTTAATGGCGTTCCATCTCGCGGAATATGGCCGTGAGTCATTTGGGTCTTCCTTTAGCTAATAAGCCCTAGCTAGAGCTACATTACGAGAGAAGGAAACGTTGCTGTGCCGTATTATTGGTGCAAAGAAAATGTGTACAAGTGCTCCAGTGACCTTGGAGGGCCTGATCAAGAACATCAATACTCAATTGCTAGATATGGAAGAGAGATTAGGATCAGTTAGGAATCTGGAAGAGGATAAATAACGTGGATGACAGGTTAAGAGCGGTGCTACCAGATGAGACGGGAAATTGATCGCAAGTAATGGCAAAGTCTATACTGATGAATTCAACCTCTAAAAAAGGTAAGGAAAAAACGTTTGTTTTGTTTTTTTTTAAAGACAATGCGCCTACTCCCTCTTCTCAACTTTGTGATTGAGAAGAATGGCTTTTCAATGTTCTTCTTTTCTTCTTTTCCTTGTTTATCATCGAATGCTTGTGTTCTCGCTCCCGCTTCATCACTGCCCTTGCAAGTGAAAAACAACCAAACTACTGAAGTAACTGTTGTGTGCATCATGTTTTCTTCGAATCGAAGTACTATTTTTACGCTCTCTCTGGTTCTACTTGCGAGAACAAACATGAATTTAGAGACGAGTCGTTTAAAATGAGTTCTTTGGAAGTGTGCTTATAAACTTTTAAGAACAGATTAAGGGAATGGAGACTTTGGAGTAACAGGATTTTACCATGGGATTCAGCTGCAGGGTTTACTTGAGGTGATGGCAAACTCCAGTGTTGCAAATCTGACACTTACTGCCTTTGGCACTTCTGGCAGTAGTCCTGGCACACCTGGTCGCTTGGAGGTGCACAGGAAGTGCCCCTCCACACATATCCCCGCCATAGCCATGCTCCTTGTTGACCACTCCAGGTTGACGAGCAAGTCCATGAGGTGAGCTTGGCCATTTTGGAGAATATATATTCCATTTCCCACTGAGGCTGTGGGTGGTAATGTCTTTCACAGGGTTAGTAGCCTCACGAACTGTCGTTGATTTCTTCGAACATGGCATGGTTGAGATGCTCTAAGACGAAATGGAAACATCGCTTCTTTTCGTCCAAGAGGAGAAACGAAGAACGAACAATATGGAACGTACCTGAGGAAAATGTCTGAGAAAAGAACGATCCTTTCCAATGTCTGAAAGATTGGAATACTTGAGTAACTCATAAGCTCCACCTGTTGAAGTTAGAAGTTAAAACACAACAGCCAAGAGTGGCAATTCCATTTACTTACTTGGACTGGACTGAGTATGATCAGCACCATCAACGCTACTCCTGCCACCAAATCAGACCAGACGCTTGCAAAGTTGCTTCGATTCTCTGCTCTGACTTCCTCGACCAATTCTAGCCTGTAAAAACAACTTGAGCGAAGAACAAAGAAGCAAAGCCTGGAAACCAAACACTTACGCTTCATCGTGAAGATGCTGCGTTAGTTTCTCGTCGGAAATGGGAGGAGCGATTCCAATCCTGACCTCGAACATCAAACGCTTCTCTTCGTCATCCAGTGGAGGAACCATTCCTTTGGTCACTTGAGAATCCGTGACGTTGAATGCCCTGGCCAGGAATGGTTCGAGCTCGACATATCGACACAGGACTAAAAGCAAAACTGTGAGTGACATAACCACAAGGAGCACAGAAGCTACTCTGCATGACAGAAGAGGAGCTTAAGTTCCTTCAGTCGGAGCTGGATAGCTTTGGAAAGGCTAGGAAAGCAACCAGAGATTTACTACCTCTTCAACCAGCAGACATCCTGGTCGAGTCGATCAGGAACGACACGCAGTCATGCATGACGAAGTTTTCCCAGGAAACTTCACCTGGAACATAAATTTGAAGGAAAGAAATCAACTTACTGTTGATCTTGCTGTGGAACTTGCAAATCCCCTTTTGAATTTGTTTTCATGGAGGAAATGCACACTAGAGCACCTCTCACTGCACAGATATATTATATACATATATGTTGAACTTCTATTTCAATTATTATTCTTAATTAATAATTATAATTAATTTTTTAGAAATAATTATATATAGTGACTGTTGGGCTGGTTATGATTTAGAGTGGTTGAATCAGTTGAATTTCACTCATTATATAGTGAACCACTCTCAGAATTTTGTTGATCCTGTGATTGAAGTTTATACAAATCATATTAAATCGATATGGAATGTAATGAAAAAATCACTTCCTCACTATGGTACAACAAAAGTATTATATAAATTTTACTTTCAAAAATATATTTGGTGAAAAATATATATTAAAAGAAAGGAAGTTACATTTAATATTTTATGTAGTCATATTAAGCTACATAATCAATGCTGTTATAGTAGAATCAATAGTATATTTTATTTTTTACTTTTAAATACTTAAAAATAATATACTAGAACAATGTTTAATTTATAGTAATGAGGAAATCAATGGGGCCGTTGCATTTTTATCTCCAGAATATCCTCATTCAGCCATATGCCCAGAGGGGGTCTTTGACAGGATGCCGTCCAAGGACGTGGTCGCGTGGACGGCTGTGGTGAATGCCTACGCCCGCTGACAACGGCGTTGTGAATGTATATTCGAGAATAGGCCCGTGAGGAACGTGGTGTCGTGGAACTCCATGATTTTCGCATATGCTCCGACAGGGCATTTCAGGCAAGACGTGGAGCTCTTTCAAATCATGCCTGCTCACAACGAGTACACGTGGAAGGTTATGATTCCTCGCTATGCTCTCAGTGGCAACACGGGCAAGGCTATGGCTGTGTTCCAGAGCGTCGGCGCAAGAACGCTAGCTGCCTAGAACGCTCTAATCTCGGCATTTGCCCAGGCTGGGGATTTCTCCATGGTGAAAGATCCCTTTGACGCAAGGCCTGCTCACAATATTGTGTCGTGGAAGAAGCGTGATTTCCTGGACAAGTATTCTGAAAAGTTACGCGGATGCATGGAACCTTAACGAGGCGAAGCGACTATGCCAGAGCGAAGCTCAATCACCTGGAGCGTGATGCTTCAAGCATTTGCAGGGTTTGGGCATGTAATAGATGGCGAGAGTTTGTTTCATGCGAGAAACCTCACTCGGCGATCCCAGTTGCTTGTCAGCCTGGACCAACATGATTGTTTTATAAGATTGACAAAGCTCGAGCAGTGTTTGATGCTTTGGCGTGCCTTGACATGGTCTCCTGGAACACCATGGTCGCTTGCTACGCACCCGACGTCCACCACTGCAAATATTTCTTTGAGCAATGCCCGGCCACAACCTGGTGTCTTACAACACTCTCTTGTCCTCGCTGGTCAGCTGCAGATTATCCGAGGAAGCAGTGAAAATCTTCGTCGAAATGCCAGAGATAACATACAGTGTGATGATGCAAACTTATGCACAGGAAGGCCAGCTTGCGAGTGCCAGGGACTTCTACGAGACAATGCCGGATCGCAACTCAGTGCTCTCATCACCGTGATCTTGGCACTCGCCCAGCCCAATCCCCGAGAACAGCCTTTGAGCGATTTGAGGCCTGGAGCTCGATCATCGCAGCCTATGTCCAGAACGGACGCGTGACTGGATCTCTTTCGAGAGATGATCTTGCTGGCTTTCAAGCCAGACGAGACCATTTTCACGACAAATCTAGCAGGGGCAGCGAGCCAGCTCGAGCAGTGTTGCCGAGATTTTTTGTCCATGATCGCAGACTTTGGGATCTCTCCCAGGATCGAGCACGCAATGGGGCGACCTGGTCAGCTGGAGCAATCCATGCCATTTGTTCCACAGCGGGGCTTGTGGATGATGGCTCGAAATGCAAAGGTTGTGGAAATGTCGGCTGGAAAATCCGGGATAATGCCAGGTTGACAACCAACAATCCTAGTCATCCCGGAGATGCGGGTGTTGTGCCATGTAAGCTGAAAACCTATCCCACCAGCCAAGGCGCGATAGAGGAACACCGGTATAAAAGAAATGGAGTAGGGGTTATGATTAATCCGGGAGAGCCTGAAAGGGCGCTTGCATCCCTCGGGTTGCTTAGTAAATGGGGTCGCTGACCCTTGACCACTTGGCCCCCCTCGTCGGTGACCCAGTAGTGCTAAGTCGGTATGGTCAACCCCACCGTGACCTACAGGATAGCGCTTGGTACCCAGGGCGCCCAAGGAGGCCCGATATCTTTTGCAAACATTTCTTCGATCTTCCTTTCTGGAATTTCTTGGTGCGGCCTTGAAGTATTTTTCACTCATTTCAGAGGAAACGAATGTTTGCGGCACAAGGCGGTTCTCAGACCATCAAAGCTCTGCTTCTCTCTCTTTCTTTTTCCCGAAGAAGCAAGGGTGGCACTTTCAAGGGGATAGAGAATTGCGTTACACTTGTTTGCAAGTCGGGCAGGTGTTACTGATTGTGAAGAAAGGTCTCCAAGCTAAAGAGGCTTGAGGAGGGATGTCTTCTACAAGAACAATAGCATCGATGAGGCTAACAAAGAGCTAGAATAAATAATGACTCCAGAAGCTTATGGATAAATAAAACATTTATAAGTAAACCACCATAAACCACCATTTCTTTTCGAAAAATAAAGGTGAAAAAAAAAGGTATGCCAAAGCTATCTAGCTCCCACCGAAGAAATTCTTCTTTCTTGCGGAGTGCTGGATCTCGTCAACTTATCCCTGATTTCGAGGAGTGCGAGGCAAATTTTTGTAGGAGCTTTGATTACCAGGGGCTACACATGCAAAGCGTCCCAGGAGCGAAAGCTGATGGAAGAAACATACCGCTCCTGAGCTCTTGAAATCGGTGGAGAGCATAAAACAAATTTTAAAATATTTCACTAAACCGGTTAAGTTGCTGAAAACCTTTATCTTAAAGATGGCGAAACAATATTTGGCGAAAAACAAAATATAGGTTTCGTATAGGGTTTGTGATTGTAAAAGGGAGACAAGAAGAACTTCTCACGAGCAGAGCAGATCGGCGATGGTGGCGGTGGACGTTGAGCGGTATGTTGAGCTCAAGCGCATGATCGACGACTTGGTGATCGAAGCTGGTAACAATAGGAGCATCCGGGTGAAACAATACGATAGCTTCGACTTTGCGGACTATGATCACTGGGCCGAGACCAACAACAAGAGGGCGCTCAGGCCGGACTGCCATTACATGGAGGACGAGGTGGCGTTGGATCCTCCCCGTGCCGACCGGATCACGCGGATGGTGGCCGTGGCGCTCCAGCAAGAGGAGGAAGGGAACAGGAGGCAACTGGCTAAGGAGGTGAGCCACTTCACAAGGCAACTGGCGCTTCAGCAACAACAAGCCGGGCCGCCGAGCAAGAGAGCTCGCCACTGATCGTCGAAGCATCCCCTGGAGGGATGATCGAAAACAATCTTGTATCACAAGCATTAACAAAACTTGTGAGCAAAGCAAGCTCCTGCCAAGGAGCAAAAAAGTTTTGTTGTTTGTACTTCCATATACCTGGCAATGAAGAGATCTTTCAGCTTTAGTGGCGTTCCATCTCGCGGAATATGGCCGTGAGGGACGGAGACAAGCGAGGAAGATTTCGGAAAACCTGTTGCAAAGGTGGTGGTGGTCAGTGTTTTGGTAATAGGAGCAATGTACCCATAGCTTGAAGCAGGCATCGATGGTCACTGGAACTATCGCCACGAAGGAAGATATGGAAGCCTCGTTGGCCTTCATGCCGTAGTGCTCGAGGAAAAGGTTCACCACGGTCACCCAGCCCGACTCGGAATGGTACCTAGAAAGTGGAAACATCGCTTGGTTTCATACTGTTCACAAGGCAAAGAAAACACAAGATGGTACCCGAGGAATATGTCCGAGAAAAGAATGATAAAGAATGCCTTCCCAATGTCTGAAAGATTGCTGAAGAGACGAATCCCTGAGTAACTCATGAGCTCCACCTGATGGAAGTGAGAAGTTAAACACAAGAGCCATGAGAATTCCTGTTGTGACGTACTTGCACTGGATTGAGTATGATCAGGAGCATCAACACTACGCCTGCCACATCGGACCAGACGCTTGCAAAATTGCTTCGATTCTCTGCTCTGACTTCCTCGACCAATTCTAGCCTGGAAGAGCAACTTGAGGGGAGAACAAAGAAGCAAAGCCTGGAAACCAAGAAACTTACGCTTCGTCGTGAAGATGCTGCGTTAGTTTCTCTTCGGAAATGGGAGGAGCGATTCCAATCCTGACCTCGAACATCAAACGCTTCTCTTCGTCCTCCAGCGGAGGAACCACTCTCTTGGTCATTTGTGAGTCCGTGACGTCGAATGCCCTGGCCGCGAAAGGTACGAGCTCGACATATCTACACAGGACTAAAAGCAAAGCTGTGAGTGACAAAACCACGAGGAGCACAGATTTCCTACCTCTTTAAGAAGGGGACCAGCACGCAGTCATGCACGACGAAGTCTGCAAGCCACGGTATCAAAATGAGGCACGCAGCGAACTTCACCTGAAACATAAACACTGGACAAATAAATCTCTCGAGATCTTGAAAGGAAGAACACCAACTTACTGTTGATCTTGCCGCGGACCTCGCAAATCCCCTCTCGAACTTGTTCTCCTGGTGCCACTCGAGAGGCTCTTGGAACAAATCCGAGAATGGCCCGGTTGCTTTCCTAGCCTTTCCAAAGCTATCCAGCTCCGACCGAAGGTACTTAAGCTCCTCTTCTTTCTTGTGGAGTAGCTCCTGCTCGATCTCGTCAACTTCTCCCCGAGAAGAAACTTCTTTGTCCCTGGATTTCTCCCAGCTCTCACCATCCAGCCAATCTTCCCAGTTATCACTGCCGGGGTCTCGTCCCCTCTTTCGGTACCAGCGGAGCTCGTTGATGGCGTCAACTCGCTGCTTCCAGGATTTAATCTCCTCGTCGTCGAGCATCATGCGTCCAATCTCGTCCATGGCGGCCTCGTCGTTGTGCTCTCTCCACCAGTCGAAGTCGTCGAGCAAGAGTTTCTTCCACCAGCTTTCTCTCCTAGGACGCTTTGCATGTATCCTCCATTCCAAGCCCCTGGCAATTAACCTTCTCTTCGCGCTGGAGAAGCTAGAGTTTCCACTGCCGCTGCCGCTACTAGCTACAAAAATTCGCCTCGCATTCCTCGAGCTCCTGGCAATCGATCCTCTAGTAGTCCTACAGAAATGCGAGTGCCCGAAGCGATCGGATACCAAAATCCGCTTCCAATTGCTTGGAAACTCTGCTTGAATCCACACGAATCTCTGGCTCCTCGCTCCTGAGCTCTTGAAATCGGTGGAGAGCTTACCGGGGCGAAGAATTCCATCTCCCCAGGGCTGCTCGCAACGCATTTCTCTCCGGCATAGAAGCGCATCCTCATAAACCCAAAAACCTAAAAATCGCACCATATCCATTTGCCACGTGGCATAGGCCCCTCTAATAATCTGCCACGTGTCTTCATTTTTTAACTTTGGAAGAACTTTGAAGAACTTTGGGAAAAAGGTTCATGGATTTCCAAAATCCTCAGTAGTAAGATCTACAACATCGGTGGAGCAGACTCTGAGCTCTCAGGCACGTCGCTCAAGAATGTATCCCTGCTCTTCACTTCTGCTCGCTCCCTGTCCTCGTCGTCACGACCCGATGATCTTTGCTCTTGCTGCTGCTCTTCTTGGTCCTGCTGTTCTTGCTGCTGCTGCTGCTCTTGCTCGTGATCATCTTTCTTCTGTTCTCCTTGCTCTCCTCCTCCATCTCCTGTTGCTGGCGTTGTCGTCGTCGCCTCGCTGCTTGCAAACACCATGCTCCTAAACGTTTCAATCAATCCTCTGGCTCCACCGGAAGAAGATGAAGCAGCGGCGCCTCTCCCTCCTCCTGGGTCTGTGTAGTCACGACGGCGTGAAACGAGAGTTGGAAGAACTGTTTTTGACGAGGACGAACAATCCAGTTGTTGGTGGTGGACTCTTTTCGACACCTGGATCACTCTGCTTATACGAGCGAACACCCAAAGAGAGGTTAACAAAGCCATCGTTGCTCTTCGCTCTTTCCGCTCTATGCATGGCTTTGCTTTTACGTACCTTGCGACTCGGGGAAAATAAAACCGTGGACTTCCTGCTTCTCCTTCTCAACGATTGTAGAATTGGTTGAATAAGGACTCCTACGCATGCCCTGGTCATGGATCCAGTTAGAAAGGCGAGCTTGAGCTTGCAAAGAAAGGCCTTTACCTGTCTAAACTTCCCTCCGTGGATGGCTGGCGTGAAGGTGCATTCGGCCATCTCTTGCTTTTGCTTCTCTTTTCGCAACGCCTCGACTCTGGCAATCCGTTCTTGTCTATCCAACAAGATCAGTTTGTACCATTGACTCCTAGTGCTGCAAACAGGAAGGAATCCGAGAGTCAGGAGCATAAAGAGTTTTAAGAAACCGAGAACCAAAACAGTGCTCGTCACGCACCTAAACTTTCTCCTACGAGCAGCAAGCGAGCGAGAGAGGCGGCACATCTTAAACTGGAACGGGAACTTCTCGTCCTTCTTCCGTAGCTTGAAAACGTTATGCAAGCCACTGGATACAATCTTTTTCTGCAAAGTCGCGTGAAGCAACTCCGAGTGTCAGCTGATCAAACCAAGCGAAAAACGAAACAGTTGAAACCAAGTTCCATTACCTGCGCTGTTTGCATGAGTTTTTGGAACGTATCGTATGACAATGAACCTTTGCCATCGTCCATGCCCATGACAATCTTAATCTCGTCCACCACTTCGTCCGAGAACAAGGCAGTGTCGGCTTTTTCGAGATCAACGTAGCCACTCTGAATTTTTTTCACAAAATAGAGCGCGTTAAAGTTCTTCTGTTAGTTGAAACGACACTTCTACAAACCTTATCTTTGTCGAGATGATCAAAGATTTGTTTCAACCTCCTTTCCTTGAGGTGATCCAGCAGCTGCCCGGATTTCGTACCAACGTAGTGTGACTTGGCAAGCTCAATCCTGTGTTGGATATCTCTGTCCATGAGAGACTTCTTCTTGTCCTCTATAGCAAATTTCATCTGATATAGAAACTCCCCGATAGGCAAATTCCTCTGCAAAAAGAACAAGACAATGAAACATCCACAACTCAACAAGCTATGAAACGCAAAGAACGAAAAAACGAGTACAAAATCATTCGACAAACCTCGCCAACAGGCTGTCGGCCGATTGTTGGAGTGAAAAACTCCTGACCCGTGGTCGGATCGATCAGCTTCCGACCTCCGGGTTCCAAAAGCTTTTGCTTCTTCTCGGCGAGCCTTTCAGCGTACTGCAGCAACCGATCAAAGACAGTCGTGTTGCTTTCGTCGACTTGTCCACCGTCTCCAGTTTTGTTGATGTGAGGATGAAATGTAACTCTGGACGAAGAACAAGGCGAGGGTGAGAAACACAACCAGAGAGAAGGAAAGTTCTGGTAGAAATAGAAAGAAACAAATAATTTACACACCCTTCGGGATACCATTGCATGTATTCCGCTTGACGTCGCCTCCGGTGCTCGGCATCGTAAAACAGTTGCTCGAACCGTGTCGTGGTTTGGACGTCACGACGCTCAAACGAATGCAAGTAGTTTATCCTGGGTTTGAAGGTGCACTCCATAAGCTTGGCTTCCCACAACTGAAAGAAACATCAAGCGTTTACTACGTTTTCAAGGAATGAAAGAATGCAGAGAACCAGTGTAAGTACCTCATTGCGAAGCTCTTGCAAGTGTTCCTGGTTTTGTTTGTCCTGGACTAGCCTCTCCCACACAACTTCCGTTCTCTTCAAACGTTTGGCGAGCTTACTTCATGCACGTAACAGGGAAGGGAGGCTGCTGATTAGAAACAAAAGGAACAGCGAACAAACTAGCTTTATAACTGTGTGTTTTGTTGCTGGAAAAGAGAAGAAGAGAAGCAAAGTTTACCTGATCTCTGGCTTGGGAGAGATGAGCTTCAACTCGTTCATCTCGTCCTCCTGCTGCTTCTTCTCGATTTGCCGCCGCCGCTCCTGGTCCTTAGCAACAGCCTCCTGGTACAAGAGCTCGCCATAGTTTTGGAACTGCTCGGCCTCTCGTTCTCTGTTTCGCATCAATCGCCTACTTCTCTGAGAGGAAACTTTGAGCGCTAGTTAAGACAAAACGCATTCTTCTTGTTGTTTACCAGTGAAGTAACCGGTCGATCCTTCACCATCTTCTCATGGTATTGTTCCGCGATCAGCCGTGCTTCTTCCTCGACCCGTTGTTTTTGCCTTATATAGTCAGTATAAAGTCTCAAGCAGAGAGCTTTCTACACGAAAGGAAAAGGAAAAAAAAAAAAAACTTTGTGAGAATGGATCAAGGTGAAAAAAACGCTCACCATCTTCTCGGATAGCTCCGCCTTCCTTTTGTGCCTCTTTTCCTTCTTCCCCCTGTCCACGGTCTTGGTAGAAAACGTAAACGTGTGTTGGAGGAGCCTCTCGGAGAACTTAGCTGGTTTGATCCCCCTCCTGGCGGCCTGGTACTTCCGAAACTCCTCCAGCGTTTTGGGCTTCTCCATGTAAGCTCTCCTGGCCTGGCTGATAACATCCATGGGGACCTGCTTTTGCTTTTGCTGGCCCTTCCTCCCCCGCTGCTGCCCATGCTCCTCGGCGGCGCCACCACCACCGCCACCCTTCCCCTTTGGACTGCCACCATCGCCGCGCTGATGCTCACGGTTGATGCTCCGGAGGTTGTAGGTGATGTGCTCCGTCAATGGCACCACGAACTGGAGCGGCAGATCGTGCTGCTTGCAAAACGCGGTGGACACCTGCTCCGGGGAGTCGCCCTGCTTCAACTCGATCTGCTCCACGCGCCCGTCCTCGATCTCCACCGTGATGGAGAGAACCACGCGCGGGTCATGGTCATCGGCCACGGACTCTTCGATCTCCCCACCGCTGGGGCTCTCGCTTGACATCTGGGCGATGGCGATCGACCCACCTCGCAAAACTCAGCTTTGGACGCCTCCCGGATCTCTCCTCCTCATCCCCGCGCCAATGCCAATCCTGGATCCTCGCCGCCGCCGCGCCGCGCCGCGATCGAGCTGAGAATGCCGCTGGGCGCCCTGTGCTAACGGAAAAGAGTGTGCTTACTGTGCTTCCAGTCGCGAGGGGTCGAGACTCTTCGGCGAGGGGCGTTCTCTTTCGACCCCCGGGTCGTTCGTTACGAGATTCTCGGTGTGACACGCATGCCCTAAAAGCCCGGCGCGCCCCACCGTGGCGCGCCACGTGGCCGCAACGGCCACGATCCGCCCAACGAAGAGCGATTTAACGGAATCTTTTTATAACGGTCAACGAACATTCTGTGAGGATGTGAGCTTTATCCGGGATCGAACCCGCGACGTGTCTAAACCCAGGCGATTGGCTAGGGCTAAGCTTTTGGTGGGCATCGAACACCAGCGCGAGCGAGGGGCCGGTGTGCGGGGGCGGGGGATCGAACCCAGTGCCGGTGCGTGTTAACACTTTGTCGATTCGATCCGGGGACAGTTGGTCATGGTGGCGGGATCACGCCGTCGCGCTAGTGAACACCTTGGCTCTTCTTCTACTAGTGGCAAGCGCCCTAGATATGGCGCCTCCTCTTCTTCCTCCACACCCACATTGCTAGGGCGCGGGGGGCGCGCCTCGTCTAGGGCTGCCAATGGCGCGCGGGCGTCGTCGTCCGTGGTGGCGGACGATCCCGATTTCGAGCCGGGGGATTCCGAGTGCGTGGCGCTGCCCGAGGATTCTTGGTTTGGGGCGGAGGAGGCGGCCGCGGCGATCGTTCCAGTTGTCGAGGATGCCGATGTCTCTGCTGCTACTGCCGCAGCTTCATCGTCGGCCATGCCGCTGTGCTCCGGCCCTCCAGCACAGGCTTTCGCGCTCTCCGCCACTCCTCTCTACCCTAATTCCGTCAGGTGGTCTGAGGACAACCTCCTTGCAGTTGCCGCTGGACATATGGTCACTATACTGGTGAGTTCTTCCCATGCATTGTCTTGTTCTTGCTGAAACTTTTCTTTTTTCGTGAAGAATCCAGCATCGCTGTCGGGTCCCCGGAGCTTTGTGTCCGTCTCCGTGAAGCCGAGCTTCGATTTTGGCACCGTGAATCGTGATGGTACGTGTTAAGTTCGTTCTTGTGAGTAAGCTTTTGCCTAGAGTTTGCTTTTAGAGTTAAAGCATCATTTGCTGATGCCGCTTACGCTCTCGAGGGATTCTCGTGCCGTGGTTCGCTCGATCGATTGGTCTCCGCAAGGTGTTGGATCCCATGGAGGGTACTTCTTTTTCTTTGTTCTCAAGTCACGGGCCTCTGATGTTTTCGTTTTCTCTCGGGCATTTTTTTCTTATCTTAGATGTCTTCTTGCGGTTGCCACGACAGATTATCGAGTGAAGCTGCACTCGCCACCCATGTCCGAGTATCGATCTGAGTGGATCGAGGTAAGCCACGCTTCCCTTGTTGTCTCTTGTTAACTATGAATTTGTATTGGCAGTTGTTAGACGTTTCAGAGATGATGTTTGAGTATTGTATGAAGTTTGAGTTTTTGGAAACGGAAGCATCGTTTGACATGGTACTCCTTTCGCTGACAGTTTTCTTTCATGATTGACCAGCATTTTGATAGATGTCAGATGGCATAGCTTTCAACAGAGCTTACAAGAGGCAAGGACAAATGTCCCCAGCTGAGGATCTGCTTCAGAAAAGGAGGAGAACTAGGTACTTTTACGTTTACGTACGCGGCTTTATTTTTGAAATGTTCTGCTTGTGCAGCACACCGGAGGCTTCAGTACTTGGAATGGAGGTGAGCTACTTGTTTTGTGCTGATGGTTTTGAGCTGACTCGCATCTACTCGCAGGCTGGAAATTTGCTTAACCGTCCTCCTGTTCTATGGGATGGGCAAGCATCTCTTGCTTCAGCCCATATGAAACCTCTTGCAAACGACGGCATGGCGGATGATGCCATGAAGGTATAACTTGAATTTATCTTCAGATGACGTAACGCCTCAATGCCAGAAACGCGGTAGAAGAGGGACTTACAGTGAACAGCTTTCAGGTGCTTGTGATTTTAAATTGTTTTCTCTACGCTTCTAAGCAGGTTATGTTCTCGTAGGCTCTGCTGATGTTGAAGGTTTCGACGACGGAAAACAAACTAAAAAGAGAAAACAGCTGAGAGTCAAAGATGGACAGCTCTCGAATCTAACCGTCACCGCGCCCCAATACATGACAAGGAGTTCAATGCTGGCCTCTCTAGCCTTGGCATGGTCCTCGAAGTGCTCTTGCTGTGATAGCAACTCGCGAGTTTTTAGTGCTGTTTTTCTGTCGGTTGGGACGAAGTCTGGCATGGTTGGCTTCTGGCGGCTATCAACACCTGACGTATACTCGGTTGAAAAAGTGCTACCGCTACCAGACGTAAGCTTTATCGGCTTCTTAAACGCACACGAGTCCTGGGTGACTGCACTTGATTGGGCGGCTGGAGCTTCAACTGATCAAGTTCTTCTGGCAACCGGAAGCTCTGATGGGAGGTACAGTTCTACCTCGTATCAGTCTGTATCTAATGGATCTCACTCATGTTACAGTGTCAAGTTGTGGCAAGGAGATACAAGAGTATTGATGCAGTGGCAACCGTCGGCGCTTTTCCTCCCCTGGACACTTCTCTTTCAGGTGAGGGAACTATCTTGCATTTAGTTTAGTAAATGACTAATGAAAACTCAGGTTACTGGTGTCGACAGTGTGCCAGTGACGTCTTTGGCCTTGAAATATTCAATTGAGGCGGATAATATTCTTATTGTCGTTGGAAAAGGATCCGGTAGCGTTTTAGCTTGTGAATTAACAAGTGCAGGCCAGTGCTCTCGCAGGGCTTGCCTTCCACGGGCTCACGACCAAGCGGTATGCTTCCAAATATGTGCTTTCATGGTTTGATGTGCTTCGAGTTCCAGGTTATGGGAGTTTGCTGGTCTGCAGACAAAGATCAGATATACTCGTGTGGCCAGGTATGTTAACATTTGTTAAGCCACTAAGTATAAAGTCGTCTTTGACAGGATAACATGCTTCAACTGTGGGAATTCGCTGATACGCAACTCGTAGCCGTGGAGACTTCCCTTTTGGCATCTGAGGTCCCGGCAACTGCTCCTGACGTGTGTAAAACATTGCAATTGTACCCACACTAAACTTCTAAACCTTACAGCTTCCGGCATCGGCGTTGGAATCGTTTTTTGGTGTTGCACTGTCACCTGCAAATCTTTCTCTTGCAATGGTAGGATAGGTACTTAAAATTCTCTCTCTCACTTTTCCATGTGCAGGTAAGAGGAATTGCTGCTGAAGCTGTAGATCCGATGTATCAATCCAGGTACCAATGTTGTTTTATTTTTTTGTTGGCTAGAAATTTAAGATATTGTTTTTCGAAATCGCAGGTCACAAAAGGGTATTGTACAACTGGTCTGGGTCGGACAAGACGAAAATATCGTAAAAGCTGATTGTTTCGACGATCCGAGTGCTGGTAGATCGGCTTATACTATTGCTGCAAGCTGGGAGACAAAAATCATATCGGCATTCTCTCATCTAGATCGTCGAGCCTCGTTCGTCCTATGGGATTTGCTGACAGTTCTATCATTTCTCAAGCAACTCTGTGGAGGAGAGATACTGGGGTCCGTTTTTCAGAAATGGCTCTCAAATTGGAGTTTCGTAAACACGGGTACTATCGAGGCTTGCTGCTGGTCAACAGAAGCTCTCAAGACGTGCTTACCAAGCTTGAGTTGTCGATGCCTACAGACAATGATCGTGATCTTTCGAAGGATAATCCTACAGGACTTGAAACTTGGACTACTTACAGAAGGGTTGGAAGCCATGCACAATTCTGGATCACGTACCCAGTTAACTTCAGAGCAGCAAACGTGGCTGGAAATCCTTTGGTGCATGGAGCACGAGCTAAGAGAGAGGCTGATGTTCCTGGCTTTGCTCACGGCTTTGTGGTGCAAGTCCCCTCAAGCAGAGAATGCCCAAGCTAGTGTCAAGATGGAAGCCAGGCTACCAACAGCATTTTTGATGTCCGACTGGATCCTCTTGAACTCGTCAAAGGTTTCTCCTCAACTGCTGCAGCTCGCCACTGAAGTGCATAAAGTTTATAACAGGTAGCTTCTTTTTTGTGATTGCTGTCAAGATGTTAATGCGTTTTCGGTTGTGGCAGATCTGGATCAAGTTCACAAGAGCGCTGCAGCTACTGCGAGCAAACGGTTCCCTTGGAGTACCTTGAAGTTGGCTATTGCCGCGCAGAGGGAATCAACACGAGAATAAACCATCGGTTGCAGCGGTGCTCGGCTTCCTTGCAGATCTCCCTCCCTGGTCCGTCGTGGTATTGTACGTGCTGCGGTCGAAACGCCTTCCAACAGGTTCCAGAGTTTTTTTTCTCCTTGACGTCGAGGGTCCAGATTGAGAGGCTGCCTTCGATTGTGGTGCTGGAGCCCGTTGTGTCGCGGTGTCCCTTTTGCGGAATCCTGATGCAGAGGATCTTACCGGAGTTTTTCCTCACACCGTCTCTGGTGTAAGTAATGAGGTGAGTTCTCTCCTTCCTTTCGAAAGTTTTTGACGAACTTGCTGTGCTCTCGTTGCAGGCTGGTAGTTCTCAGTGCTGTGTATGTAACGGAAAACGCTTGTAAAATATGATGAGAGAGAAACTGATTATCAAGCAAGCTGGTAACACACTTTTCTTTGAGATATGCATTTTTTCACACCTCTAGCTAGCTGCTCTCCATGTTTTTCTCTCTAGATCACGAGTTTGTGAGCTGTTACTGCAAGGACAAGACCGAGTTTGCTACTCTTCTCAGGGAATGTGGAAACTCGAGAGCTCTAGCGCGGGGTAAGCGTGTCCATTCTCTTCTTACTTCTGCCGGATATGGAGACGATGCGATCCTGTGCAACTTGGTCGTGCAGATGTATGGCAAGTGCGGTAACTTGGATGATGCCCGCTCCGTCTTCGATCGTATTCCTGCCAAGAACATCTACTCGTGGAACATCATGCTGTCAGCTTACCAGCGTGCCGGTTGTGGAGTTTCGGCACTCAAGCTGTTGCGGGAGATGGATTTGGATGGTGTTCGACCGGACAGTGTAACTTACGTAAGTTATGTCACCGCTTGTTCATCGGCTGGTGCAGTCGAGCAGGGAAAGTTTGCTCATTCCAGGATCGCTGCTACTGGGCACTTCGCAGCGGACGTTTCCGTGGGGAATTCGCTGGTGAACATGTATGGAAAGTTCGGACTCGTGGAGGAAGCCAGGACGGTCTTTGAGAGCATGGTCGCAAGGAATACAGTGACTTGGAACACGCTTATCGGAGCTTATACCCAGAACGGGCATAGCAGGGAGGCGGTTGTGCTATACAAGCTGGCGAAAGAGAGCGGTGTGAAGATGAGCTATGTGACTTACGTGGTGGCTCTTGGAGCCTGTTCCACTCTCGGGCAAGGCAGGGAAGTTCACTCGGACATCGTCGCTGCGACGTGCGAGCTCAACGCTACGGTGGAAAACGCTTTGATCGGATGCTACTCCAGGTGCCAGAGTTTGGAAGATGCCCGGCTCGTTTTCAACTCCATGCAGTGCCGGAAGAACGCCGTCTCTTGGAACTCTATGATCTCGGCCTGTGTCGCGAACGGGCGTCCTGACGAAGCTCTTGAGATTTACAGGAGGATGGACTCGAGGCCTGACAGGGTGACTTTCATGGGTGTCCTCGGTGCCTGCTCTAGTCTTCCAGAGGGAAGAGAGATCCAGCAGCGTATCAAGGCAGAAGGCTTGGAGACTAATGCCTGTGTGGCCAACGCGCTGATAACCATGTACGGGAGGTGTGGAAGCTTGGTGGACGCGAGAGAAGTCTTTGACGCGATGCCGGGGCGAGATATCATCTCCTGGAACGCTCTGATCAACGCTCATGCTCAAAACGGCGATGGAAGAGGTGCTCTCGGGCTTTACCACGAGCTTCAAGCGGACGACATGCTAGAGCCGGATGGTGTGACTTTCGTGGCAGTTCTCGGTGCCTGCGTAGCCTGCAAAGACTTCAAACAAGGTGACGAGGTCTCCAAGCGGATCATTCGTAGCGGGATCTACAAGGACGACGTTGTTCTGGCCACAGCCCTCGTGAGCATGCTTGGAAAGTTTGGCGAGATGGAACAGGCGAGGACAGTGTTTAGCGGCATGGCTAAAAGGACAGCCATCTCCTGGAACGCCATGCTTGCGGCATACTGTGACAACGGGCACGCTCGCAAAGCTCTGGAGCTCTACCACGCAATGGACGTGGATCCGGACGAGGTGACTTACATGACTGTCGCGGAGGCGTGCTCGAGCTCGCGAGATCTTCAAGAGGCTGGAGCTCTACACGAGCGTGCTGCTGCGTCCGGCATGCTGGCTCATGTCCCCCTGGCCAACGCTCTGGTCGCGATGTATGGCAAGTGCCAGCGCCTGGACGAAGCAACGCGAGTTTTCGAAGGGATTCCTCGCCGGAGCCTCGTCTCGTGGAACTCCATGATCGCGGCCTGTGTGGACAACGGGGAGAACGCCCGAGCTGTGGAGCTGTTCAAAGAAATGGAGCCGCCACCCGACGACGTAACTTTCGTGAGCGTCTTCGCGGCGTGCTCCAACCTTGGCGACTTGGCTATGGCGAGGGAAGCTCACGGAGCATTTGGATCCAGGGAGCTGCTCGATGACACCGTGGGAACTTCGCTCGTGAGCATGTATGGGAGGTGTGGGAGCCTCGCCGACGCTCGAGCGGTGTTTAAGAGGATGCCGAGGAGGGACGCGACGAGCTGGACGAGCATGATCGTGGCGTGTGCTCGCGGCGGCGATGGCGTTGCCGGGGTGGCGGCGTTCTACGCGATGGGACTGGAGGGAGTGGCTCCCGACGAGATCAGCTTCCTGGCGGTGCTCTTCTGCTGCAGCCACACGGGGCTGGGGCGCCAAGGCCGGGAGTTCTTCGTGCTCATGCTTGAGGAGCTGGGAGCTCGGGCCGAGCACTACGTGTGCATGGTCGACCTGGTTGGTCGGCTTGGATGGGTGGAGGAGGCACAGAGGCTCTTGGAAGCCATGCCTTTCCAGGCCGGTTCCATCGCGTGGCTGGCGCTGCTGGGGTCTTGCAACGTCCAGAGGAGCTCCCGGCGTGGAGCGCTGGCGGCCGAGCGCGTGATCGAGCTGGAGCTGGAGGAAGCGAGGCGTGGCAGCGATTTGCAAGGTTTGTGAATCTCGAGCTCTTTCTGCAAACCCTGTCGGCACTTATAGCATATAAATCATTTCCGAGAAGAGAAAGCATTCCTGGATTTGGATTGATCTTGGTGTCTCCAGGATAATCTAGTCTCTGAACACGAGGGGGTGGTCATTTCTAAAAGCTTGAAAATACTGTTCTCTGCTCCTTTACTTTCTTTTCTTTACCCGATTTCCCAAAAGCCTGGTGCTGGGCTCCTGCAACAAAATCTGTGTGTTTTGATCGCCATGGAGGACACATTCATTCGCGAGCAGAGGTCGAGGGGCCCCTCAAGATTTAAATCTCTCTCCTCGACTGTCCAACCCTTTGGAAAGTAGCCATCTCGCGCGTTTTAAATCAACAAAATATTTCCTTTCAAGGTGTCAACGTGAGTGAAGGACCCCCTATGCATGGGAATTTAGCGATCTGGACGCTGTTGTGGGATCATCACTCGCTCAGCTGTGAGTTCTTTCTCGTGGGGTCGCGGGATCTTGTCAATCAATGGGTGGGTCGTTTCTTTCACTCGCTCGTTTCGATCGATGGACAGAGATTCATGGCCTAACCACAGGACTGACAATTGCCCGCCGGTGGGACAACATTCATATGATCATGGCTCCACACACTCCCACACACTGACCTTGGAAATATAAGTACGAGATTAACATCGCTATCCTCCGCTCCAAGAGCCTGTCCTCCTCCGAAGATACCATCCATGTTACGTGGCTACGGTACGATCAAACTGCATTTCTAAAGCTTGAAAGCAAAATCTTCATGTCCGGCTCGAACAAGCTGTGTACAAAAGTTACAGGCCAGAGAGTGACACATATATGAAATGACCCAAGAGGACAATCAGCGAGGGTGGTGGAAGAAACTCTGTAGTTAAATGTGTAAGTTGGAAGGGGAGGATCATCTTAAGATCTGAGTGAGTCAGGTGTGTGTTTGGTGTGATACTTGCAGACCAAAATGCCTAAGAATTTAGGAAGACTTCAAAGCTGTGTCATATCTCCAGTGTGGTAAAGATCACAATTTTTATATGGTTTTCTCTTACCAGCAAAGCATCTGGATTGAGATGCAAGTTGGGCAGTACTTGTTTCTAGTAATGTCTTTTTTCCTGTTTTATGCAGCCAAGTGACCACAATCTTCTCCAGTTTTGCGGTACCACGTTCTAGATTCATTCTTTGGCTTCTTTCAACAACACCAGGTCCTACAGACAAATGATACTAAGCAGATCCTTGCTTGTACAAGGACTAGCTGGAAAGGAAACTCCTTGCCCTTTGCTGTGAGCTTTCTTAGGAGCAAAGCCCTGCAAAACCACAGACCAGTGCTCCAGATGATGGGTTGTACTCAACTTTTGCATCACTCACCAGATACAATAACATGGTATCAGACTAATTAAACACAATGCTGGTTGTGCTGTCCTGGCAGCAAGCCAGGAGCACAGCAAAGAAATGAAAGCCATGCCCAGCAAAATCCATAACTATGACAAACATCAGGTGAGTATAATATGAGTTTGACTAGAGCATGCCCTCAATTACCCCTTTCACCAACCAAAACTCTTTTTCACTGCAGTTTACCAGCCACACCAGAGAGACAGGCACACAGACAAAGCAATCACCCTCTTAGTGATCATAGTACGTTTTTTAATTTCTATATCTTTACATACTAAAAGAAGAACTTGTTAGAGAATGGAGATGAAGATGCTGCCTTTGTTTTGTTTATGTTTCTGGGGTCATATTGAGGTGTGATCCCTCTCCACTCACCAGCAGTTGCTATCAAGATGAATTTTAACATATATTTTGACCACCACCAACTCTACAGTAACAGTAGAAACATGCAATATTTACTGTTCTGGGATTTTTATGGTGGAGGGTGGTAAGTTTCCTCACATGATGAAACTGCTATCATAAATTCCCCCAGTTTTTGCTGGTCTTCTTGTAATTCCACCACAAAGCACGATGAAGAAATGGGAGAAATACGACAAGATCATGTCGTAGTCCACCTGCTCGCTATACGCATGGTGTATAAACAAACACCTCCCTGATCAGAAGATCAGATCAAAGCCCTTTCCTCCATTTTCAGAGTTGCACGCTTGTTTAATATACTGCGTTTTTCATTTTTCTGCTGGAAGGACAATACACACACCACACCCTCCGTGTACTTCGTACTTCTGTATTCTGGGTGCGTATGGGTTGGAGCCATAAATTGAAAATCATCTGGCAATAACACCGACATTTACAGTCCACACAGTAAAAAACGGAGAGGACAAAAAAGGTCATCTAAACATATGCCCACAAAGGCAATTTCTGGTCATGGTGTTGTTGCGGCTTAAATCACACGCACGATCGCGCTTCTTGCGGATAATCTGGAAGAAACCGTGAGCTCTAGTCCCTAGCCTAGCATCTCTTTTGAATTCTGTGAAGGAGCTCTAGCTTTTTTTCTAAAGCCCAGTGTCCGCTAGTTCACCAGCTATGGCGTGGTGCCAAAACATTTTGTTATGGCGTTTAACCAGTAGCCTGAGCTGGCTGGCAAGCCCCGGGGAACACGGGGCTGGTTTTCCTGCGTGTCCAAACCTCTACTAGCGCCAGCTACGTGAAGACAACAACAATACCAAAGAACGGAGAACCAAGAGCAGCATAACCATTTGACATTGGTTTTTTTTCTCCGTGGTATGACAAATCCACCAACTTGTATGACTGTCAACTGACAGACCCAAAAACTTGGAGTTTCCGAAACTCGTCTCAATGGCATCTTATACTTGTAGACTCTTGGTTCTCAGCAGATGCCGAGATTTGGCATTACGTTACAATCAATTCATGTCGTCCGTGTCGCTTGGATCGCGAGAGGGCGATCGCTTTCCGCCCCGCATTTTTGTTTGCGAGCCTTGTCGAGGGTCTGTTCCAGGTACCTTCGTTCCAATTTGATTTCAAAACTCTCCTCGCGAGGAATCAGTACAAAAGCTCCAAACTTTATTCCGCGAAATCCTGCTTTGGGGGAGGTCATCTTCTTACTTTGGTGCCACTGCTCTAAATTCTTTTCCACTTTCTTTTCCCTGGTGTCATCGTCGTGGTTTGGCAGTCTTTCATTGTTTTTGTTGTGACCTTCTCATTGAGTTCTTTCCGTCCATCTTTTCTCTGGGCTCTTGCTCTTCTCCGCCTCTCCCAGCCTCGCCTTTAGCTTCAATGTGGATGCATTCTCCATGTGTTGCGTAGATTAGAGCCAGCAGCAGATATTTCATCTGGTTTTGGACTGCGATCTCTCCTTGGAGCATTGCTTTCAAGACAATCAAGGCCTCTCACGGTGTGCCAAGCTGTTTGTAAGTCGTAAAGAAGTCCCAGACTGTTTGCACTGCTTGCTTACCGCATCATTATAGCTCTCCACTTCCATTCCTTCCTCGGTTTCGTGGCCTTTTGCCTGAGACAACAAAACAAAAAGCAACCACCGAGCAAGAAGGAAGGAGAAGGAGAAGAGAAAAAAAGTCGTCACAGTAGTGAGGTGTGAGGAGAGGAGGAAAACATCCAAAGCTTTTCGGCTATGGCAGACAGTCCAGGAAGATTGCTTTCAAGCATTTGTTTAGGTGGTGGTGGCGCTGGCGGCTATGGAAGCAGCGGCAGCGGCCAGTCCTCGGCAAAGTACGGCTGCGTAAATATTTTCCTCCATCTCTTCGATTGGAACCGGAGGCTCTCCAAAAAAGGCCTCTTCTTGAGCAAGAAATTGCTGCCGTCAACGCTAGGTGAGAATGAGAGCGAGCCAGAGAGAGAGAGAGAGCTCTCTCTCTCTCTTTCACTCCCTCCAATCGAAAAATAAGCATGCATTTCTAATTCTAGATTTGCTCTGTGTGTTTGTGGCCAACCACAGAAGGGGCTGAGCAATCCGGGAAGAATAGGAGGAGAAGAAAGAGCAGGAGCAACAAGGCAGCCATGGTGGTGGCGGCGTGCGAGGAGCGTTTGCCCATGGCAAAGTTGCTCCTGGTAAGCTCCAAACATTTCAACCATGAAAAAGAGAACTTTTACTTCTTTCTGGAGATTCGACTAAAAAGGAGAATGCTGTGTTTGCTACTCAGATTGCTGATGAGAAGCGGACGAATGGCAGCAATTTCGATGACATTCCAGAGGAAAACGAAGAGGAAGAAGGCGAAGAGGAGGAGGAACTAGAGCTCGAGAACACCACCAATGCCAGCAAAGATAACTTGATGATCACCAGCGGCAGGAGCAGCTACAGCAGCAGCGACAAATGCTTTCCCTGTTCTTCGGAGACTCGCTCGCTCCAGGAGCTCCTCCACACTGACCACGACGATTACTACCACCACCAGTTCGCTGCCTCTCCTCCCAAAATGCTGCACGAATTCCTCGACCCGGCCGAGCAAAAGCCGCTTTTCAGCCTTCTCATCCAGGAGGCCAAAGCAGCGTCGACATCGTCCTCCTCCATAGCTCTCCCAAATTCCCGGGAAGAACAGAGCCACCAAGCTCCCAGCTCCAGAAACCCAAAGAGGAGCTCCAATTCCCTCTCCAGGCAAGTTTCCTCCGAGAGGCCGGCCTTCGCTCGCAGAGCAAACTCTCGCAAGTCCTCATCCTCGTCGCCCATGACCACTTCTTCCTCGTCTTCCTCCTCTACTAGCAAATGCCCCCGTGTGGCAACTGATGCGAGTCTTGGAGTCGCGGCTTCTGGATGCGGTGGTTTCAGCAGAAGGACGTCCGGGCTCTTTCTCGAGGCAGCCGCAAAGATACTTGATCCACGGGGCCAGTCGTCGAAGACGTTGACCAGGGTTGGCCACCTTTCTTCGCGGAAGAAAGTGCCCGTCTCGAAGGTACCACTCGACCACCCCGCCACAGCCGACGAAAGTAAAGCCGCCCCGGAAGAACACAAGCACAGAAGATCATTCGAGGTTCTTCCCTCGGACATCCAAAACTGCTTTGCAAACTCCTCCAGAGCATCGCTGCGCGAGAGGAGATCTGTCTCGGCACCTTGCTCGCCCGGTCCCCGCGGAGAAGAGAAAGAAGGCACCGTCCCATACACTAGCTGCGCGTCCATCCGCTCGCTCATGGAGCTCTTCCTGGACGACCTGGAGGAGGACATGGAGCTGAGCTGCCTGAGCCGGTCTCTAATCTCTCGATCACCTCGCGAAGACCTTCAAAAACTTTCCGACGCAGCACCCCCCGATGATCACAGGCACTTCCGCTCCATCCATCTCCCAGATGGACGCGACCGCACGGTGGACGAGCTCGAAGAAGGCGACTACGTAAGCTTTCGGGACTTCCTCACGAAGGCGAAGAAGCCTAGTGCTACTCCAGCTCCTCCAACCGAAGTGGAGGAGGATGCCTCCACTGCCGACGAGCAGCAAGATGATTGCTGCCATGTCCCCAGCGACCACCACGAAAACTTTGGATTCATGGTCCACAATCCTTTGTTCGAGGGCAGTAACTCCCCATCATCTTACTACTGCAACGAGGAGGAGCTCGGCAACGATGACGACCGAGGTCTGGAGGAGATCCTCAAGTCCATCCTCACCCAGACGAGCGATCAAGCCAAGCAGCACCGGGATCCCTCGAGACTGACATGGCTACCGGATGAAAGCAGCAAGTTGGCAGCTCCAGATCAAAGCTTCAACATGGTAAGTTTGCGCATTCTTCCTCATGATCATCGGTAGAACTAGAGTTCTAAGCTTTCTTTCTTCTTGCAGTATAACAATACCAGCACCACCATCATTAACAACAAAGATGGCAGCAGTAGCTGCTCGGACGAGAGCCATCAACTGGACAGCGATAGCGTGGAAGTCACCTCCGAATCCAACTGTGGAGAGGACTGCGGTCAACCCAGCCCGGTCTCGGTGCTTGACTCCCCCTTTGACGATGATCTTCCGGGAAAACGAGGCAAGAGGGGCCCCTCGAGCAGCAGCAAAAGCAGTAGAAAACGACTAGACTTTTCTGGTAAGAATCCACACTTTTTTTCCTTGCGATCTCATTATCTTTTTTTTGTTCTTGCTTAGATGATCGTCACGCTCGGAGTGTAACCAGCAGCAACACCAGCAGCAGCAGCGCGAGCTCGCCAAGTAGCATAGTTCGGTTTCAAAACTTCGACACCAACGCGCTGGAGGAGGCCGAGGAGTACATCGCCATGGTCCTGGAGGAGTCGGGTATTGGCTACCATGCAAACGCGGTGACGCTGCTGGTGGCCGAGGCCAAGAGCGGTGGCGACTTCAACGCTGGGATCATCGGCGGCAGCGTCTTCGAGAGGCTCGAGGACCGGATGCGGGTGCAGCAGCTCATCGAGCACCTCGAGTCGTGCAGCACGTCGTCCAGTGCCGAGGATCGCCCCAGCCACCACAGCCTCGAGAGCCTGAGAGCTCACTACGGGAGCTACCACGAGTCGAGGTCCCGGAGGAGGATGGTGTTCGACTTTGTGAACGAGATCCTGGGATCCATTGTCGCCAGGCACCTGGAAGATCACCACACGCGGGTTAGAACAGGGAGGCAGCTTGCTCAGGAGACTCACCAGCGGGTTCTCGAGTGGAAGAGACAGGCGTTTGATAGCATCCACGAGCTTGTTGACATGGAGATAAGTAGAGTGAGGAATTCTTTGAGTGGCAATCTTGGCGTAGAGGTCTCCGAGATTGGGCTAATCTGCGAGGAGCATATTTTCAAGAGCATGGTGGAGGAGCTGGCCAGGGACCTCGTAACCTCATAAAAGTCGAATGTAGAGGCCTTCTCTACGTACCTATTGTAAAACTTCAATTTATTTATTTTTCTCTCGTTTACGTGAGTGAGAAAGCTGGATGTAGCAGTGTCAAATAAATGAATACCAACATGACCATACCTCTTCAACGAGAGAAGCAACGCGAGGGTGTATTGCCATTGCGGAGAGTATTTTCTTCCACCTGGAAAGCTGAACCAGGAGTACTTCTGGAGATTGTCAAGAGGACGACTTACCCACCCAGGTAGCGCACGAAATCAATTCTGTGTGAAGTCGAAGTGCTTCTAGAAAGAACAATGGCAAGTTAGAGCTTTTGTTGTTTTATCTTCACGCAGCCAAATTTCCCAGAAGTCTTTGATAAAGTCTCGCTTGGTACTTCGAGTCCTGGACCATAAAGAACGTCAAATCGGATGCACTTTGCTACGAGCACACATACCGAAATATGACTCGGACTGACGCCAATGCGGAGCAGAAAACCGGAAGCTTTTCAGATTTTACCAGCTCACTGTTCAAGGACGATTCCAGCAGCCGCAGCACAGCCAAGATACTAGGCTCTTTTTCGCAACCTTTGGTGATTCAGGCTCCAGAGATTCGGCAGGCTTGTCACGGGCAGCGTCGACGACACATGACATGGAAATGTCGGTGTCTGGGGCTTTCGTCTTTGGTCTACCCAAGCTTTCTTGTAGCTGCCTGAGATGGATCATGACTTCATCCAGGGTGGGACGTCTACAGGGATCCCGCACAAGAACGAAGCGAATGAACTCCACCACAGGGCCAAAGTTTCCAACTTTCTCTGCTTTTTCGTTTGTAATAAGCTCCTGGAGGTTGATAAGCTTAACCATTCAGCTTCACAAAATGCTTTTCCAGCGCTTACCTCTGAATTTGTCGTCACGCGGATAAAGAAACGCATCCAATCTTCGTCATAAAGAAGGTACTCTGCTGCTAGGAGCTCGTAGAGGAGGCACCCGAGGCCCCAAACATCCACTGCTTTTCCAACACATGTATCAAGACTAGCATCCCCTCCTGTTCGCAAAAGCTTGAGCATTTCTGGACTTTTAACGTATTCTGTTCCCCTGTTTCGAACAGTGCATTCTCCTCCCTGAAACACGGACGCCTGCAAATATAGGAAGTCAAAGAAATCAATCACATTTTGCTTTTTTGAAATATAATAAATTTTACTTTGCTCTGGCCAAAGTCTGCGAGGCACACTCTGAATGGTAAAGGATGTGAATTTTCTTCTGATGGTGGCCATGTAGGATCCCAAAACTCTTCCTCTGAAATAACAGAGTCAACAGGTTCAAGGAGAACATTGTCACACTTCAGATCATAATGAACGACGTTGTGAGCTTCAAGAACTTTCACCTGTCCCATCAAAAGTGAGCTACAAACATAACCAAGGTAGAGCTTACCGCGTCAAGAACTGCAGCATACACCTCAAGGTAAAGCGGGAGCCGGTCGACAAAGGACTTGCCCGATTTATGCGAATGCAAGCCTCCCTGATTTAGCCTCCATGCACGAAGGCTGCACTTGTAGTGCTTCAACACGAGCACAAAAGTTTCTGATTCCAAGCCGTAGTCAAGCAACTGGCTGATTTTCGGTTCTCCCAAGAACTTCTCCAAAATCTGGACTTCCGAGTATACGTCGAAAAACTTGCAAGGTTCGTAAGGTCCTTTAGGAAGTTCCACAGTCTTCAGAACCACTAGCCTTGGCCCATCTTCCTCATTAACTGTGGCTTTGTAGATCTGTATACAGAAATACTGTTAGTCCACATATAACCATCCCGAAAGAGACCTGCGCAAATGCGCCATGAGCTATACGAATTCGATTCCTGTATAGTGACGAGTTGAAAAGTCCTCTCCAGGAAAGCCTTAAGATTCTGAAGGCAGAGTGATGAAACGCTTTCATCCTCTCCGTTAAGCAGGGAAGCAAATAAGAATTTGCTACATGATTCAGATCTGGATGCAAGTCAAGTTGAACAGTTTTCCATAGCAAAACAGCAAGTAAATAGAAAAGGATACGATAAAACAGGAAGAATGGAGCGTTGAGTTTCTGCTTCTCAGTTTGGAACCTATCACTGTATCTCTGGTCCAAAGTCCCCCTATGAAAAAAACTCAGGACAAGCTTAGTCCAAAGCGACAAGAAGGAAACAGCACATACTGAGGTGTTAGCATCAAAGTTATGTAAAGCTCGAGTAGAAAAAGATGGAGGCTCGAGTTCCGGTAAAGTCTTCTTTGCGAGCGCTCCATTTCGTAAGGCGTGGTGAGCTTGCAGCTGCCACCTGAAGTTTGCCCGTCTCCTGCCAGAGAAACGCCCGGCGACTTGTTTCCAGGCTTGGAGACCTGAATCTCTGGCTTTGCCTCCTCGGCACTGTTTTCTTGATCGCCCTTCCTAGCAGATCTTGGAAGATTCAGCTTCGGTATGAACGGTCGAAACGATGCCTTGCCACCCTCGTTTGCTAAGCTTCCAATGGAATCATCCTCAGAGTGAGTGAGAGACTCTGAATCGCTGCTGTCGTTGTCACTGTTTGGTCGATCCTGTCCATCTTCTTCTGCAAGTTCTCGCTCCACCTCTTCGTTCAGATCGAAAAACTTCCCAGTGTAGACCACTTTCTCAGGAGCAAAATCGCCTTCAATATCCTCTGCTAGATTGTTCTCGTCAACTGTCACTGGAAATGCGACCTTTTCACTCGCTTGCTCGTGGACAGGATGCATTGGAACCGCAGGCTTCATAACCTCTTGCCACTTCTGTAGAAATTCGTGCCTGCCGGTGAAGGGTCTGCTTAGCAAGTAGCTCTCGCACGATGATGACTGTACCGCGCTCAGAGTTCGAGCTGACAGGAACCCGAGCTCCAGCTTTGGCATGTCTTTGGACAAGGACTTCTCCAACTTCTTATGCACAAGGCAGGACTTGTTCGAGCCTTCTAACTCTGGCGAAAGTAAGCAAAGTCCTTTTTTCAAGCCTGCCACTGATGGTGTTGTGACGTCGCTTGATACACTTGACTCCATGCTCGGATGGCTGGTTTCGGACGTACGTGCGCTAGGATCTCCAACATTCTTAGTGCGAAACGAACTCGCCGAGCTCCTTAGCTGCGATGCCAATGCCTTGTTTATCCTGACTACGTCCCTCGGAGTCGCTACTTGAGAGGCCTCGTACTCCAGGGCAATCTGGTGAACCAGGAAATCCATCACTCTGAGCTGCTTAAACCTCAGAGTCACGTCGTCACTTTGATTTTGCGCCAATGCCAGCAGCACTTGTACGTGTACCGCACACTCAAGTGAGAGCTGCTCGTCTCTAACTTCCGCCTCAGAACAGGGAGCTTCATTATCCGAGCACCAGGCTAAAGTGCAGCTGTTCTCGCTCACTTTCTCGAGAGTTGGCTCGGCAAGTTTCAGTTTCCGTCCTTGCAGCAAGTTGACGTAGTAGAGATGTATAAGCCGAAGGAAATGGAAATCCAGGAAGGGATAAGCATAAGCCTTCCCTAGAAATGGATTTCTTGCAGCCGTTCTTCCCAAAAGCGATTGGCTGAGCGTCGTGCGATGCCTTTGGCCATGGAAGCTCAGCCCGAAGATACTAGCCAAAAGCTGAAGACTGGCTATCTCTAAGTTCGTGGCTGCAAGGTAGGAGAGGTTGTACGAAACACTTGCCGGACCGGATACTTGGCCACCTTCTACCGCATTACCGCCAAATCTCTCAGTTCCCCGCTGCTGCCTGTTGGTTGATTCTTGAGGTGATGCAGGTACAGGATGAGGAACTCTCCCTGAGATACCTTGCCTCTGTGTGCAGAAAGGTATCAAGTTCCGCAAATCTTCTCTGACGTGCTTCAAATGGAAGAAAGCAGCTTCATAGTCTTTCTGAGGGATCATCTTCTTTTTGCTGAAACCATCGCCCTTGAGCAGCTTCATCAGCAGTCCTGTAACAGGATTCATCAAAAACTCCAGCAGTATTCGAGTTTTTCCCGGCAAAAGCAAGTTCTTCTCTCTGTCTGCCTTCCTCTGGATGAGCCCGATAGTTAGCCGAAGAAACGAGACGAGGTTTATAACCGGAATCTCCTCGCACTGCATACTTGGCAACCACCTCGGTAGCCAGCTTGAGAAAAGATCACCTGTGGGGTCTGATAAATCGCGAAACTCCAAAGGCTCCCAAACACTCCACAAAGACTCCTCCAGAAGATCCCAAGTGCAGTCATGGCAGGCGTCCACAACGACCCACTGTGAATAGCGTCGAATGAACTCCCAGTTCTTGTCGATCAGCGTGTTCCACAGGAGATTATCCAGTTCCCTTTGCCTACAGTGCGAATTCTGCATGCATATAGCGAATAGCCGTAGAATGTTTTGCATAACTAGGAGCTCTCCGCCACCCCACGAAGCTGGACCTTCGGAAGAAGAAAGCAAGTGTAAAACTGCACCCACCTCTGCTCCGCAACGCTGAAATACTAGCAGTGCACCACCTTCCTCTGGCCATTTGCAAGCAAAGGAGCTTAGAACCTGCAGGAGTGATCCGAGCGCGACCCACACTTCCCAGAGCGACACCATCTGTTCTGTCTGCTTCCCATCGTTTTCCATGACCCTGGCTTTGTGGTCTGACAAAGTGGCCTTGATCCTCGACTGAATCTCCGAAAGCATCAAAACTGGATATCTGCTACCTTGAGACTTGTGCTCATCGGACTCGTCGAGTACGTGGATAATCTGAAAGATATGCTCGTGTGCCTTCTCCGGAGAGCCATCACAAACTGTCCGCACCAATTCTTCGACAAACGAGCTAATCAGTAGCAGCTTACGTGGTCCTTTGAACTCTTGTACAAGCTTTCGTCTTGTCTGTGCTAAAGAAGAGCTTCTGTTGGTAAGCATCACAGCCGCTGCAGATAGAAGATGACATATGACAGCTGATGCCTTAGTCGAGTTGGATGAGACCTCCTTTGTACCACCCCGAGGGAGCATTAGCCTGAAAGCTCTACTTGCCTTCAAACTGGTCTTTTTTCCACCTGATCTGCCGCCATTCGGAAGTGGGAATCCTTTTACGGTTGAAACAGCTCCTACTCTCTTTAATACCAGCTTCAGTAGCACCTTGGCAAATCCACTTGACTGGCAAGAGCTTTTAAAAGTAGCTACTTGTTGTCCTTGAAGAATTGCGTTTATCCCGCTTGACGAAAACGGACAGAATGCCACAGTGGCTGAATGATCTTCATCGCTTGCATCCGGAGCAGCACCGACAACAGGATAAGAATGCATCACTCTATCTTGCTCCAGAACCTCTCCTGGAAGATCACCGCAAGGAGAGACTTCCCCGCGACTTCCTTCGAAGTAGTAAACTTGAATGAGGTCGATAACAGCATCCACTGCTGTCCCAGCTATCAGATCAGCAAAAACAGCTGCAGCGATAGAGGATCCATGAACAATAGCGGATAGCATGTTGCTGAGATGCACCATTTTCTCAAGGTTTTCCACTTCCCTGCTACTATCCTGTCCTTCCTTCCCCTCTACATGAATAGAAAACATTTCCTGGTCACTGTTCTTACCTGCACTGCTATGTCTACACACCGAGTCTAGAATGCTGCTAACTGCGTCCTCCAAATGCGTGAGGAGAAAAGCACCTATACTGCTACTAGCTTCACCTGGAATAACCTCTATAACCTTTAAAAACGCTTCTACCACCTTGCTCGCACCTCTTCCCCCTGAGTCGACAACTAGCAATGCCTCTTCTAACAGTCTCTCTAAAAACCTTCTGTCTAGCCATTCTAAAAGCCTCAGCCATCCGTTGTTCTGCACACTAAACGAGCCACAGCACTTGGACGAAGCGTAAACCCCGTCAGAACCTGTCTCGTGGAAAGTATTCCAGTTGATTGCCGTGTCCCGAGCACTTGGCACAATGCCTCTAACGCTTTGTCCAATAACGTTTTCGGCGCCATTTTCATGCATTCCACCCAGCAGAAACTCCACCAGAGCTGCTAGGCCTTGGCGTCTTTCTTTGATGCTGGAAACCTGTAGCTTTGACAGTGCCGACTGCTCTTCCTTTGAAAGACGAGCACTAGGAAACATGCCACTCGACTTACACTCGAACAGTGTCATCCCCGAAATGAAAAAGATGAACTTCACCTTGTGTCCAGCTTCTTTCCAAGAGTTAACGAGGCAGTCAAGAAACCCGCGAACTGCAACGCCACCTACAAAACCTTCCTTTTCCACGTAAAAGTTGTTGAAGACAATGGCACCAAGAGTACCGATCCGCCGTGCATCCTGTTCCATTGAAACACTGTCCCATAGCTCCCACTCGTGCACCTGAAAAGCCTTCTCTGAATAAAAACTGACACCCAAACTCTCGCGTGACGTATCCGCCGAGAACCTGCCCTTACCGATTTTCAGCTTCCCCTCCGAGCAATCGAACCTCATAATAGTCCATCTCAAGTCCCGGGTCATCACTAGCAAATCCACACCTTCAAACGTCAACACAAATGGAAAATGGGCCAGCCAGCACGAAAAGTCCAAGTGCCGAAATCCGACATCCGCAAAGTTTGTGCTGTCCACCAGTTGTCTCAGAACTATCTGAAACTCCGCTAAAGCTCCTCCAGGCTCGACCATGCACAAGAGCTGATGGAACGCTGTAGCAGGCATGATGAGCAACCACTTGACGAACAGACTATGAGCTTCGGTGCCACCGCCATTCTCTCGCAACTCAAACCTGGACTTCCTGTAGGCGGACAGAACAACAAAAGTCCCGGCCAAGATCGTCAAGTAGCTCGCTGTTACTGCTCGGAACCTGTATGCCAGCTTCACCTGGCTTGTAAAAAACTCCTCACCACTGCTTGGAACGATCCCTCTAGTCAGCCTGTCATCACTGATCTCAACCCAAAGACAACAGGACGCGGGGCCAGAGACTTTGAGCCACTTCTCAATCCCTTCCTTGGAGCCGACCAAAACTCTAACCAAAACTGGCTCTTTGGAAACCCGTGCCTCGCTAAAGAATTCCCTGATCCTGCTCTTGTTTCGAAACAAGCAAGCCTGAAGAGCGCTTTCCTCCCTCTCCGGAAAAATGATCCCTTCCGAGAGACCGGGAATGGCATCGCTACCACCCGCAGAGAAAGCCAGCCATGGCTCCACCATGGCTTTCCTGCGCCGCCAGTCACAACCTGCTCAGTAGCTGCCAAGACCAAAACCTGTTCTTCGATCGAATGCCGGGAGCCCAGGAATCCAACACTAGGAAACTAAAGCCTGGCAAGAACATCGTCATGTAGCGGCCCGATATCCTCATCCAACGCGGCTGGAGCAAACGAAAACAGATTTCAGCTTGTGGCAGCTTCCAATCCAGCATTTTCAATCGAGAGGCGAGCCCATACCTCAATGCCGATGAAATCCTGCCTTCTCCGCGGCATCCAGTCGCCCCGCCGCCGCAGTCCCATGGGGATCGCTCGCAATCCTGCCTCTTTGCAACAAACCCTAGAATCGCCAGGCGAATCGAGGCCGTCCGTTTGAAGATAGCGGGAATTTCAAAGGCACGGGATTTAAGCAGTTAGCTGGTGCCATGTGTATACTTCCCGCGATTTTTCTTTTCTTTCTGCCGGTGTTCTTCATCTAGGCCATGCCCTGTCAAAGTTTCCACATCGATGGCGCTAGGGTTAGGGGTTCAAGCGATCTCGATTGCTTCTACGTCGCTGGTGGAGGAGAAGCGAGGATCAGCGATTCCGGAGCGCCAGTGCGAGCGCGTAGCATTCGCGAGAAGAATCTCTCCGCATGAACTTTTGCAGCTATGCTCGTCAAGAGAAAGGGAGAATGCCGTGGGAGTGAGGTTTAGAAGGAGAAAGAGAAATGTGATTGCCGCGGGAGCGCCAGCGCCTCCGCCTCCATCGCAGGTATGTTTGAATTCCTTTACTTTTTCCAGACTATAGATTTTGACTTGCATAAGTCATCAGATAGATCGGCCTTTGGTGGGTAGCATGGCACCAAACTTTGAAGCCGAGGCTGTCCATCACCAAGAGTTTATCAAGGTACAAAAATCTCTACATGTTTTCCAAAAACTCGATTTGAGTTTGTTCTTGGCAGGTCAAGCTTTCCAATTACATTGGAAAGAAGTTCGTTGTTCTTTTCTTCTACCCCCTCAATTTCACCTTCGTTTGCCCGACAGGTATCTTGCTTTTTCTTTGAAACTTTGTTTCATTCTCTGCGTGTGTGTTTTCAACAGAGCTAACAGCGTTCAGCGATCGGTACGGTGAGTTTCAAAAGCTCGACACTGAGGTGCTCGCAGTATCATCCGACAGTGTAGTAAGCTCAAAATCCATTATCACTGGTTCTGTCCTTGACATTTTCCTTCCAGTTCTCTCACCTAGCGTGGATCCAAACTGACCGGAAGTCTGGGGGACTTGGGGAACTCAATTACCCAGTTGTTTCGGATCTGACCAAGGCAATCACCAAAGCCTATCGCGTGTTGCTACCCGACCAGGTCTTTCTATTCACTCACCGATCACACACATAGAACATAAGAGGCAAGGCAAGAACACATTTTTAAGTCTCTCGCAACTACAGATGGCCTTAACCTTTGCATAAAAACCACAGGGTATTTCCTTGAGAGGATTGTTTATAATCGACAAGGAAGGCATCGTTCAGCATGCTACAATCAACAATCTTGCTGTTGGACGCAACGTTGACGAGGCCCTCAGGCTTGTCCAGGTAACTTCACTCGTTCTATATGTTTCACGTCGACAAAATCGTTTCTTTTAGGCCGTCCAATACGTGAAAGTGCATCCGGACGAGCTATGTCCAGCGGGCTGGCAGCCTGGGGAGCACGGGATTAAACCAGATCCAAAGCACTTTGCTGCTGTCTAAAGCCGGGTTTCTTTCTTCCTTTTGGCTCTCGCAACACCAGGTAATACGCTCTCATCTCACATGAAAAGCTTTACAGCAAAAGCTCTGCAGATTTGTCGTGCGTGCCGTGCTGAATAGAAAAGCATCAAGTGGAGAAGGCTCACGTTGCAAAAGTTGGAAAGGCTGCTGGATGCGATAGTACGTCTTTTTTTCTCCTCCTGCATTCTTTTTGTTCCAAGTTTTTGTCGGAGTGAGGAGCTTCCCTTTGTTCTTTCTATGAGAGAGAAATTGTGCAAGCAAAGAAATCCAAGAGAATGATCAAAAGTTAGCATTAAAAGCAATGGAATCCAGAATGGCATTGGCAAGCTGGCCTGGGCATCTTCTTAATTGTTCGTCACCCTGTAGGGAATCGAACCTGGGTGGAGGCATTTAAAAGCCCCCATGGGTAGGGCAAAGAAATTTTAATACGGGGCAATTTTTTTTGTTACTGGCAGAGAGGGGAGGGGACGATAGCTGCGCTCGCGCTGCGAATGGAGGCGCTGGCTCTCGCATCATCCACATCGCCGCTGTGGATCTTCTCCATTTCCTCCTCGTCCTCGCCGCTGGCTATGCCGTTGTGGAGGAGCGCGCCGCCGATGTTGCTGCTGCCGTTGCTGGACGGGTTCTTTGGCGCCAGGAGCGCGGCGATTAGGTCAAGCGGGCGTGCGTGAGGGAGGATTCGCGCAATGCACAAGAGGTACACACAGATGGGCCGGGAGCAAATGCTGCTGCCCAATTTATTATAGTTACCACAGGGGGAAAGAGAGGAAGAGATTGTAGTTTATCATAGGCTATAGTTCCTTGATTTTTTCTTCATTCTGGTAGAGGATTCTGGTAGAGGCAGCGGCGGGGTTAATCCGGGCTATAGTTTCTAATGGGTTAGGCCTGGGAAGAAAGAAAAAAAAACAAAGAGACAAGGGGAGATAGCGAGAAAAACTGGGTGTTAGATGATGGAGATAGGAGCATGCAGGAGGTGCACGGGAGCATTGTGACACCAACACTGGTTTTGTCGCTGCTGGATTTGGATCCGAGCAGCAAGAACAGGTTGGAGGGGTGGCACTCTCCCGAGAGGCCCGACGAAGACGACGAGCTCGACTCACACGAAGACGAAGAAGAAGAAGAAGAAGAAGAAGAAGTGGACGAAGGATTGGGAGTTTTGGTAGCGAACACAAAGTGTGTGCTCGCTGGCTTCCAAAAGGAGACGTGGGTGCTCCCACTTGCTGGGCTCTTGTTGCTGCTGGGGTGCCGGGGACGAGACGACACCCATCGCTACGAGCTCCAGCAATCCGTCGTCCGCCAAGGTGGAAAATCCCGCGGGCCGTGGAGGTGGCGGCGGTGGCGGCAGCAGCAGCAGCAGCAGCAGCAGGACGGGGGAGTCGCCTATGCCGCCGTCGGCGCAGCCATCGTCCATGCCACCTCCGATTCCAGTTCCAGCGTTCCTCAGCAGCGACGAGCCCGTGCACCCGACCAATGGCGAGCGGAACTCGTCGGCGGCGTCGTCCGAGAGTGGGAAGAGTGCTGGCGGGGACGCTGCCGGAGGAGGAGGAGAAGGCGAAGTGAAGAAGGAGGTGGCGCGGCTGCCCGAAGTGAAACCGGGGCCGGGAGGAATCCGGAGGAAGAGATCAGGTGTTTTGGCCAAGAGGAAGATTACGTGGGTGGATGATCACGGAGTGGACATAGCTCAAATCAAGGAGTTCGAGCCCAGGTACAACTCTTCCTTTTTCTTGTTTTTTTCTTCCCATTTTCTCTCTTTTTTTTGCTGCGATTCTTTTGGTGGTTGTTCTTGTTTGACTCTTACTCTCTGCGTCAAGATTCCGTCAGCTTTAGTGGGCTGGTCTGGACGTGCGTGTTTTGACTCGGGCATTTTTCCTTTTCCGTTCTCCACTGTTCTTGCTCTTTTACCTTTTATCCGTTCCCAGCTTTTTGGGTGTTCTCGTTGGTGTTCTTAGAAGTTTTAGTGCAGTGACTCCGAGGACTCCGATGAAGAGGGCGATGACGAATCCCCCCAGTCGTGCTCCTGCGTTATACAATAGCATCGAATTTTCGCTGGAGCGATTGACACCAAGAACAAGAGAGCTAAACCTTGTTTCTGGGACTGGAAGAGGAACAAGAGGATCAAAGCCACCGGGACGGTCGCTCTGTATATTGGCTGTATTTCTACTGGCGCACCCGTCCGGGCTCACTACTTAGCATTGTCTTCGCATTCCTCAAAACGCTGAGAAATTTTTTTGTACGGTCTTGTAATGTTCGTACGGTACCTTGCAAACCCTAAAACATCAAATTTAAATGGGCCCAGTGTCCTTAATTGCCGCCGACAACGTCCTCTCGTTCTAGAGAGCTATGGCTGCTGCTACTCTGGCGCACATCGTCGCAGTGCCCATTCTGCTCCAGGGCCACATCGCGCCCATGCTCCACCTCGCCCACGCCATCGCTCGCACCGGCAGGGCGATCGTGTCGTTCATCACCACGGAATCTCACGCGCGGGCGCTCGCCGGATCCAAGCACTCGTGGTACTGGCAGGGGATTGACGAGTCGCGGCTGCGATTCCTGGGATTACCCGACTCGAGCGCTCGCAGTGGGCAGGGCGAGTGGATCGACGAGCAGGGACGCTGGCGGGGCGGCATGGACGCATTCGCTGGCGCGATAACGGGGCATATGGCAATGGAGGCGGCCCTGGCGGCGACGATCGAGGGCTTGGAATCAGTCGATTGCTTCATCTCGGATTCTCTCTCCCCGGTGCTCGATCCAATCGCTTCCAAGCTCGGGATTCCTTTGGCGGCGCTCTGGACTGGGTCAGCATCACTGTTCGCCTTGTATCTCGACATCCACGACAATGGGTATATTCCAGTGCAAGGTAGAGAATCGTTTTGAACTTAAAAACTGTTTCAAAGAGTTGTTCTAGGCGGGAAATCGAGCGAGCGGGTGATAAGAGGAGTTCCAGGAATTGGGGAGCTGCAAGTCACTGATCTTCCAACTACTCTCTACACGGATCAAATCGATCCGGGATACCAGAGAGCCTACATCGGGATGGCCAGGCTCAGGGAGGTCCAATTCGCAGTAGTGAATGCTTGCGAGGGGCTAGAGGGCGAGGTGTTGGCGGAGATCAGGAAGAGTCACCCAAATCTCCTTCCAGTCGGGCCTCTCGTCAAGATCCCTGGCGACGCTGATGACAATCACGGCCCCTTGAACAGCTCGAATGTAGGGCTGTGGGACGAGAATCACGACTGCATTACCTGGCTGGATTCCAGAGCACAGCGCTCGGTCATCTACATCTCATTCGGGAGCATGAGCGACTTTCGATTCGAGGAGATCGAGAGCATCGGGCAGGGGATTGCAGCCACCGGGCGATCGTTCCTGTGGGTTCTTCGCGAGGAGCTCGTGAGGGACATGCCGGAGGATTTCGTCAAGATGTTTGCGAGAAGGACGAAGGAACAGGGGATGGTCATCCCGTGGTCACCGCAATCCCAGGTTCTAAACCACAAGGCCGTGGGAGGATTCTTCACCCATTGCGGCTGGAGTTCGTGCATGGAAGCCATCCTCGCTGGAGTTCCCATGCTTGCGCTGCCCCGGTTTGTGGATCAAACGTTCAATGCCAAGGTGGTTTGCGACGATTGGGAGGTGGGACTGCGGATGATCCCAAAGGGCGATGTTGATGGAGTCGTGAGTAGGGAGCGCGTGGAAGTGGGGATCAATGCGCTGGTGGAGAAAGGTGGCGAGCTGAGGAGCCGCGCGATGGAGTTGCGCAAGAAGGTCGGAGCTGGATCACGCGAATCTATCGAGGGGTTCATCGACTCGATTCTGGAAAGGAGGAAGGACTGACAGTTTGTTTGGTATCAAAGCAAACTAATCCTCGAGTGGGAGTGTGCCACAAATCAAAATGGTATCGATCAAATGAAGCACAACACTCGAGAGAAGTGGCTGGAACTCATCGAGAATTGTGACAATCTTTCTACTGCCCGGCGCATTCACTCGGGAGTCCTTGGCCAACACTCGCATCTTGATGTTTTCGTGCTCAACAAGCTTGTGGGCATGTATGGCAGATGCGGTAGCCTAGCGCACGCCCGAGAGGTTTTCGATGCCATTGCTGCCAAGGACGCCTTCTCCTGGCAACTCCTGCTATCAGCCTGTGCCCGCAATGGACCGCTCGGGCAAGCCAGAGAAGTTTTTCTCCAGATGCCTGACAAAGATTTGGTATCCTGGAATTTGCTGCTGGGAGCAAATTCTAAACACGGATCTCCCGAGGATACCAAGAAGACCTTCGATTCCATGCCGCAGTGGGATTGTTTCTCGTGGACCATCTTGCTCAATGTATATGCCCAAGCGGGAGAATTGGAAGACGTTAAGAAGATCTTTGATAGCATTCCAGATAAAAACATCTTCATGTGGCGCACTATGATCAAGGCATTTCATAAAGCTGGTGATGCTGTAAACGCGAAGAAGTGTTTCCACCACATTCCATTGTATAACCTTGTAATCTGGAATGCGATGCTTACAGCTCATGCCCAAACTGGGCATCTAGTAGAAGCGAGAAAGATATACGAGCAGTTTCCGGCATGGAATCTTGAGTCCTGGAATATAATCCTGGCCGCGTACGCCAGGAATGGTGAGCCGATGGAGGTGCGTGAAGTGTTTGAATCCATGGAGCAACGGAATCTAGTGTCTTGGAACTCCCTTCTTTGGGCATATGTCCAAGGCGGGCATCTAAGAGAGGCCAGGCGAGTGTTCCAATCAACGCCAGAGAGGGATCTCATCTCCTGGAACACGCTGCTCGATGCGCACTGCCAGCACGCCGGATCGATCGACGAGGCGAGGCTGCTGTTCGATACGATGCCACATCGCGACGCGGTGTCATGGAATTCAATCGTCGCGGGGTACGCGCGGGCTGGCAATCCGGAGGAAGCCAAGCGTCTGTTCGATAGGGCTCCTCAGCTGGATCTTAAGATCTGTACCACGATGGTAGCGGCGCTGGCAGAGAGCGGCCAGATCCAAGAAGCCCGGGCGCTCTTCGATGGGATCCTCGAGAAGGATTTGGCGCTCTGGAACGCTCTGCTCGCTGGCTGTTGCCTGCGTTCGCAATCGCTGGAAAAAGCGCTGGAAATCTTCGATGCGATGCCGCGGGTGAATCTCTCATCGTGCTCGTCCCTGCTCTCGTGCTACTCTCGATTCGGGGAGCTGGAGCGCGTCAAGCAGTTCTTCGATCGAATGCCGCAGCAAAATCTCGTGTCCTGGAGTTGCATGCTACTCGCGTATGCGCAGAACGATCGCCTGGATCACGCCAGGAGCTTGTTCGATCAGATTCCAGAGCGGGACCTCGTGTGCTGGAATTCGATCTTGGGAGCGTATGCCGGCAGTGGCGATCTGCACGAATGCCGCAAGATCTTCCAAGAAATCCCGGATCCAAGCGTGGCCTCCTGGACATCGCTTCTCACCGCCTTCGCGACCCAAGGGCATCTCGCGGAAGCCAAAGAGCTCTTCGATCGATGCCCCAATCGAGACACGATCATCTGGAACGCGCTGCTGGCGGCGTACGCGACCAGCGGGCGACCAGCGGTGGCAATGGATCTGTTCACCAAAATGCCCGATCAAACGCCCATCGCTTGGACTTCCTTGCTAGCAGCATTTGCCGCGAGGGGGCATCTTTTAAGATGCGAGGAATCCTTCGCGGCGATGAAAACTCTCCACGCCCCTGGGGAGGCGTGCTTCGTGCTGGCCCTGGCGGCGTCTGGTCACGGGGGTCGCGTGTTCGATTCGCGCCGCCACTTCCAGTCAATGGTGGCTGACTTTGACCTGGAACCCCGGAAGCAGCACTACAGCTGCATGGTGGACGCGCTGGCCAGGGCGGGCTACTTGGACGACGCGATGGAGCTCCTGGAGAATATGCCTTACCGCCCGGATACCGTCGATTCGATGTGCTTCCTGGCCGCGTGTAGGAGCCACCAAGGCGACCGCCCCCTTCGTCTTCTCCACGAGGGCGACAAAGAATCGTCCACTTACGCGCTCCTGGCTAGCATTTCCAGCTCTAGAGTCACTGCTCCTTGATAGCAATCGATGGTATTTATGGATTAGAGGGACAAGGATCTCCGATCCATGAATTTGTCTAGATGATCAGGGTTTCTTGGACGAGGCCTCCTCCTCCCGGTCGACCACGGCGTGGAGCAAGCTATCGTCGTCCACGACCATCTCCATGGGCGAGCTGCCGAGGCCGTCGGCCACGGCCAGCAAGATCTGCTTGAGCTGCTCGCGGAACTCGGCGAGATCCACCTTGCCGTCGTGATCCATGTCGAACATCTCGAACGCCGACTGGTAGAGCGCATTGAGCTCCTCGGGGGTCTTGCTCACCGGGAATCCGCCCACAGTCTCCAGAAGATTGAGGCGCTCCAGCGCGACGCGGAGCTCCGAGCGCGAGAGGACGCCGTCGTTGTTGACATCCAGCTCCTTGAACTGGGGATCCACGGCCTTGATCAGCGCCGCCTCGTCCAGCGCGAAGTTGCGCACAGCGTTTCCATCCAATAGCACCACGCCCATCGCCAAAAGCACCGCACACAAACCTTGCGTCTTCGATTCGCGCCACGTGGCCTCTTAACCGTTAGATTGTGTCGCTTATGCGAATATGCCCTAAATTTCGCGCCACGTGGCCTTTAAAAGTTTTTGGCCCATCGCGCGGGCAAGCCCTAGAAATATCGAAGGCATGGCTATGGCGGAGGAGAAGAGAAGAGAGGTTTTGCTCGACGACGACACGCTCATCGCCATTTTTCGGCTGCTGCTGCCGCGATCGCTTGCCAGATGCGCTGCGGTCTGCTCCCAATGGTGAGTCTCGATCGAGCTTGCAGGAAATATGTCCCTGATCGATTCAATGCCTTGCTCCAGGCACAGGCTAGTAACTTCACAGCTCATGAAAGACGCATGCAGTAGACATGGGGGTTTACTGTATAGCGATCCCTCGCGTTGCAAAGAGATTATGATCAGAACGGAGCAGTTTGATCGACTTTTTACATGCAACCCGAGCGTTCTTTCTTCTCAAGCTCACTCTGGCAGGTAAGCTCTAATTTTCGTCTTGTGATTTTCCAGCCCGAAGTTTCTCCAGAGTGAACTGCTGTCACTGGTCGATGGACACACTTGCAACAGGTTCCAGTGATAATGTAAGCTCGTCTAGAAAAAAAATTTCTTACGTTTTCTTGCTTTTAATGCTTTATTTCATGGTGGCAGACTGTTAGTGTTTGGTCGATGGATTCCATGCAATGCATGGAAGAATACAGAGTTCCAGATAGCGTCGCAGCTGTTAAGTTTGATGGAAGCAGAGTAAGTTCTCTAGTTGCTGGCCAATTCAAAGACTTCCATCCAGATATTCGCAGCGGCTGGCAAGGATGTCCACATATGGAAACGTGGGAACCGCGAAACTCTTCGAGTTCTTGGAGGTCACAACCAACGCTTGCATTCTATGCAGTAAGACTACGCTATCGAAGCTTGAAATGTTTTTTCTTGATTGTTTTCCTTTCTGTTAGCTGCATCGATCCTGAGTTAGCGGTGGGCTGTGCGGATGGCACAGTAAGGATTTTTGACATGTACACTGGTCGCTGCTCGATGCTCTTAAGGTGCGTTCCTTTTTTGTTGAATGAAACTCTCAGACGTTCTTTGCAGGCACCACACGGAAAAGGTAACGTGTATCAGATCTTTAAATAAGCCCAGTGTACTAGTTAGCGGCTCCTATGACTGCTCCGTGCGACTGTGGGATCCTTTGTCGGGAGAGAACGTTCGAAACTACTTTCCGGCTTCTTCAGGTGCAGTCGCTCAACCCTTCGCAACTTCTATGAACTTGATAGCTCATCCCCTTACCAACAGGCATTTCCTGCCTTCATGTGGGAAAGGACAGGATTGAGCTCATCGTTGGAACTGTATTGGGCGACATAGATTGCTTCGATATCCGGTACAATCTCTTCCAACTGCTTGGTTTTCAGCTAGTTTCAACGTTTTTTCTTTTGTAGAGTCGGAGGTAGGCGGCCTTTGTGGTCTAGGCGCAGTAGTAACGGTCCAATCAACAGCATCCACTGGCCAACCTATACACTCGACAATTCATGCATGATAAAGGCGATTCTGATCGGGGGAAACGATGGCAAGCTGCATCTTATCAATAGCGACACCGGCCGCACCTTTCGTACGTTTACGCGCGACGGTCACTCTTCTCCAGTTTTATCAGCGAGGCTGGGACATACTCGGTTCGTGTCGTGTCATGCCGATGGCACCGTGACAAGGTGGATATTTGATCAAGGACGTACCCGCGTCGGCTTCGCCATCTGCCAAGCGTGTTAGATCTAATCAACTTCGTTATCAAGGTAATACTCTCCTTGCTTTTTTCTTGTTTCCTAACGCCAAATCATCCCAGACATTTCAACAGAACATGAAAATCCAGAGACTAGTCCGCTGCATTGCTTTCAAGCAAAGTTTCTCGGCTTTTCCGGTCTTTGGAATGCGTATAACTTTCCTGGAATCCTCGAACCGCACGACTGTTGTCTAGCAGCCAGCACCAGGTTCTCGTTTTCCTAGCAATCTCTAGCACCAATTTTTTCTACTGTGTCTCCAGATGTGAGCGAGACAATGGCTTAACTTGAGTATAAGAGTCGCAACATGCTTTGAAATAGCCGTCAAGCTCAACGCTCAAACAATTATATGGGTACGCTTATGATCCGCCTTGTCTAATAGATCGACTAAGTTACTGCCTAGAAGGAAGTTTTACCGTACGTATAGCTCCCAAGCTACCGGAAGAACGATCTTCGCTGCGACGATCGTGAAGTGCTGCTGTCTCACCCAGCCCCCACCTCCGCATGAAGGCCTCCGTCTCCACATCCTCCACTAGTCCAGCTCGCGTCTTCATGACGTGCGTGGTGGCTCTGTGGAGCTCGACCTCGGCAGCTTTCATGATGCACGCCAGATCCAGGTCGTCCTCTTTCTTCCAGGTCGGGACGAACGCCTGGAAGTCGACGGAGTCCATCGCCGGCTCTGGGCTGGAGGAAGGAAGCTGGAGCTTTGGAACCGGGGCGGCTATGGGGATGTAGCGCGTGGAGGCGGCGTCGCCTTCGTCCTCCTCTTCCGGGATGGGTGCCAATATCCAGTTGCCTTCGTAGACTGGGGATCCCAGAGGCTCGGGGGCTTGAGCGGACTCGTCGCCTTCTTCGAGCATCTTGAGGAACTGTCGCGCGACCGAGTTGGCCTCGTCGTAAATGTTAGTGGCAGAGCGGTCAGTGCTATCAGCGGTGTGGTCCTCATGGATCTTCGGTGTGACTTTGGCGATGGCAAGCTCCTTGCCCGTCTCTGCTATGGAATCCACCTCTTCCTCCGAGCCGGTTGAGTCGTCCAGGCTGTAGTCTTCTTTGGAGATCTCCACGGGCTCTTCGATAGTCGGCTTCTTCTCGCGTCGCTTTGATGATGCGTCGGAGGTGCTCTGGATCTGTGCTTGCACGAGAGAGCAAAGCATGGAGTCGAGGCGGCTGTCCGGGGCGGTTCTCAGGTCCTCCTCGTCTTGGTTGTGATCTTCGCCACCTTGGTCGTTGTCCGAGCAAGAAGACGAGCACGCCTCCTGCGCGAGGCCTGCGAGATCGGGCATCGACTTGAGCGACTCGGAGCGGGCAAAGAGCGTGGACGAGACGTTGACGAGGCCGCTGAGAGGACGGAGCCGCCGCCAGAGTGCTGGGCGATTGTGCTGCTGCTCGTTGGCGAATCGGCAGCTCTCGGTTCGGATGGATGGATTTGAAGGAGCTGGAACAGCGGTTGTCGCAGCACCGCCACCACCACCACTGCTTTTGGAGAAGTTGACAAACTCGTAGCCAATGCTTGCGACCACACTGGCGCCTTTGAGGTTCTCGGAAGCACTGATCATGAAAGCGGCAGTCCAGGCGCTCGAGGCGGCAAAGTCGGCGGTGTCGCCGATCGCGGCTGGGAGAATGCTGCCGAGGTCGAGCGTGAGCTCGCCAAGAACCGCCTGATCGAAGCTCGACACGATGAGCAGCTGGAACGACTTGGACACCGGGTGCTTGATGGCGTGCGGCGAAGCCCTGGACGCCCTCACCTTGGAGTGGAGATGGAGCGTCTCCTCGAATTCAACGCTGCCATTGAGCGCCCGCGACGCCAGAGTCTTGGAAGAACGCGCCTTGCGCAGGCAGTGGACCTCGAGGAGGATGCCGTGCGTGAGGTAGACGGGGAGATCGCGAATGGCGTGGATGTGGATGGAGAAGACGCAATCGAATGCCCGGTAGTGGAAGAAGCGCCAGCCCCAAAACCTCTGCTGCTGCTGTTGCTGCTCCTGCTGCCGAATCGGATGATCCTTCTTCTTGCTGTTCTTCGCGTTGTTCTTCGCGACCTTTGGCTGCTCAAAACCCTGGGAGTGCGTGAAATATCGCCTCCATTCCCCCGCCTCCGGCCGTGGCGCTGCGTCTTTGCCTGCATTGTAGCTCGCTGGCCCCGATCGCGACTGGCTCGCCGCGGCCTTCGATCCGGGCGGCTTGAGCAGCCTCGAGCTCGGCTTCTCGGTCGCATCAAACATCCTGCCCATCTCCCTGCCGAAATACCCAGCTCCAAACATCAAGAAAATGCCGCCGCGGTCAAGAAACAACAGCTTACCGCGGCGATCGCAAAGAAAGAATGGTCAGCTTATGGCGCGGGCGCGCGCGCGCGCTGGCATGGAAGCGAAGAACCCTAAAATTCTCTCCCCACCACTCTCTGAATCAATGCAGCACACCGGCACTAAATCTTTGTTTTCTACTTCAAAATACCGGTAGCGCGGGATATGGGTTTGATCCTCGCGGGCCATTTATTCCAACGCCTGGCAAAATCTGGGCCGTTGATCTGCCAAGGCCAGAATTTTAGAGTAACTTTGCCGCATTTTAAAAAAGTCACACTCCATTTTTAGGGCTCTTGCCCATGAGCCTCTAGGGTTTCAATTCCTTTGAGACAAGAATCCACAGCGCCTTGGAGCGGCCGTGGGCGCCGCGATAGATCCGCTCTCGCAACTCGAGGTACTGTAAATCCTCCCGTGCTCTCTCTGTTCAAGGTCGAATTTTTTTCTTTCGTTCTTTCTTTTTTCCTTTCGTTTTCTTTGGTCCGGCCCTTTCGTGAATTGCCCCGATCTGCGAGAATTTTGCCTTGTTTTCCTTAGCTCGACAAAATTGCAGGGCTGCATGTCCGCTACTTCTTGAGTTTTCTAAGAGTTTGTAAAGTTAGCGGAGAAAAGCAATTGGGCAAACACCTTGTGTTTGTTCCTGTGAGGCGGAGGAAAAAAAAAAAGACCCTACAAAGCACGCTGGGAAAAATGCTACTGGATATCAAAAACTGTGTATGAGACACATACTGGAGAAAGATCCTCTTATTTTACCTGAAAACTTCGATCTCGATCGACTCTTTGCTTTTTCTTGTGAGTGTGCCTTTTGTGAGTGTGCCTCGTGTCATTACTTCTTTGACTATCACACCGCTGTTCTCTCTCGTATTGCTTGCCCGCTTGCTTTGTGTGCTGGAGCTTGAGTGTGGCTTCAGTGTTCTTCGTTTTGCTTTGCTTCGTTTTTCTGGTTCCTCGTTTTTAATGGTTGTTGACAGTGGCATAGTTGTATAACAGGTAGTGAAATCTCTCTCAGAATGCCAAAGGATAAAAGTAGCAGCACTTTCTCAAATAAGTCTCATGATTTGTTTTACAAGCCTTACTCGACAACGCGGGGGGCATCGCCCAAGCAGGAGGACACCGCCGAGTGGGAGGACGTGACTTGCCCGATATGCATGGAGTCACCCCACAACGCAGTGCTCCTCCTGTGCTCCTCCTCGGACAAAGGCTGCCGCCCCTATATGTGCGATACCAGCTATCGCCACGCAAACTGTCTAGACCAGTACATCAAAGCTCACGCGAAAGCTCAGTCACCCAGCAACGCCAGCGTCAACACCTTCATCACCAGCGGCGGCGGCGCATCTCTGAACTCACCGGCTGCTCGCTCCGCCGCCACCTCCGCCGCTAGAGGACCGACAGACATATCCGGACATATCGAGCTATACAAGGCTTGCAAAGGCTTGGAGCTCGTGTGCCCGCTGTGCCGGGGCAAAGTTAGCGGCTGGAAGGTGGTGGAGAGAGCCCGGCAGAAGCTCAACGTGAAGCGGCGGGGCTGCGCTCACGACTCGTGCGCGTACGTCGGGGCTTACGACCAGCTGCGCAAGCACGCCAGATATGTGCATCCTTACGCTCGCCCCTCGGAGGTTGATCCGGCTCGCCAGAGGGACTGGTGGCGGCTCGAGAGCCAGAGGGACTTGGGCGACGTTTTCAGCACCATCCAGTCGGCGATGCCGGGGGCGACTATCGTCGGGGACTACGTGATCGAGGATGGCGACGAGGAGGACGAGGAGCGGGACGAGGAGCACGAGCACGAGTTCGATCTGGAGCACGAGCACGACGACGAGGACGAGGACGACGACGAGGACCAGTTCCACGACAACAACGCTGGCGTTGGCGGTGGTGGCAGTGGTGGCGGTGGTGGTGGTGGCGGCGGCGGCAGCGGTGCTAGCGGCTCGCCCGTCGCGGGTGTGGACCGCAACTTGTGGACGATGCTGTTTCTCTTCCGAGTCTTTGGGGGATCGTCGTCTTCGTCCTCTGCCGCTAGCAGCCGAGATCATCACACGAGCAGCAGCGGTGGGAGCAGCCACTCTCATCACCAGCAGCAGCAGCAGCATCGCGCTCACGGCGGCAGCAGCCGCCAGCAGCATTACCAACCCCGTCACCGCCATCACCTCGGTGTGGCTCCGCCGCCCAGGAGCTACCGAGGAGCCACATCGCCATACTTTGCGCCCCGTGGTGGTGGAAGCTCCTCGAGCGGCAGCAGCCGCGCTGCGATGATGGATCGCAATAGGACGACGACTTCGTCTTCGTCATCGGCGTCTAGAAATCGACGCCGGAGCCACCATCGCTGAGCAAAGACGAGAGCAAAGTTCTTATTTCTTCCTTTTTTCAAATCAAATAGCCCGCCCAAGGGTATATTCCACTTCTCTGCTTTTTTGAATTCAAATCACCCGCATATTCTCTCATTTTTAGGGTTCTTGGGGCTAGGGTTTATGGCGACCGCGATCTTGTGGAGCGCGCATTCTCCGCCTCTCCCGCAATGCGGCGTCTCGATCGGAGTGTTTCGAACGTCCCGAGCAGGGGCATCGGCTTCGGCGGCGGTGGCGCCGTCCTGTGCCACTGGTGCCGACGAGATTTTCAGCGTGCGCGGTGCCGAGGAGGCGTCCAAGCAGATCGAGACGAGAGTCGCCAAGCTGGTGAGTGCCTTCTCGTCGCCGGGGGGGAAATCACAGGATCTGGAGGGTGTAGCGCTGTGTCCTCGTGTGGCGGGGCGTGTCCTAGAGAGGATGTCCGACCCAGATGCCGCGCTGCGCTTCTTCCACTGGGCGAGCAAGCAGCAGGGCTTCGATCACAACGTCTACACCTACAATCGCCTGTTTGAGGCGCTGCTGCGGGCTCGCCGGATCGATGAGACTTGCCACATCCTTAAGAACGGGTGGCCTCCCGGGATCACGCCCAACGTCTTCACGTATGCTGTGGTGATCCAGGGCCTGTGTAAGTCCGGGGATCTGGACAAGGCTTGCGAGCTCCTGGAGGAGATGAGAGAATCCGGGCCCGTCCCAGATGCCGCGATTTACAACTTCGTCATCCATGCTCTCTGCAAGGCCAGGAACACCGCAAAGGCTCTCGACTACTTTAGAAGCATGGAATGTGAAAAGAATGTGATCACGTGGACCATTATGATCGATGGCCTCTGCAAGGCGAATCGCCTGCCCGAGGCCACCACCTATTTCGCGAAGATGAAGAAGAAAGGTACTGTGCCTAACGAGTGGACTTACAATGTGCTGATCAATGGATTTTGCAAGGTACACAAGGTGCACAGAGCCTACTTGCTGCTCAAGGAGATGAAAGAGTCGGGGCTTGCTCCAAATGTGGTGACTTACAGCACGGTTATCCATGGATTCTGCCGGCAGACAAAGGTTGACACGGCTTACAAGCTCTTCCGGCAAATGGTGGAGAACGGCTGCATGCCAAACCTTGTGACTTACAACACGCTGCTCTCGGGGCTGTGCCGCAATGGGCTCATGGACGAGGCTTATGAGCTTTTGGACGAGATGAGGGAACGGGGGCTCCAGCCGGACAAGTTCAGCTATGACACCCTCATGGCTGGGCTTTGCAAGACTGGGAAGATCGATATGGCTTTGAAAGTCTTCGAGGATAACAGCAACGGTGATTGTCCTCCGGACGTTGTAGCTTACAGCACTCTCATCGCTGGGCTTTGCAAGGCTGGAAGGCTGGACGAGGCTTGCAAGCTCTTTGAGAAAATGCGAGAGAACTCCTGCGAGCCTGACGTTGTCACTTTCACGGCACTCATGGATGGACTGTGCAAAGGGGACCGTTTGCAAGAGGCGCAACAGGTTTTGGAGACGATGGAGGACCGGAACTGCACTCCCAACGTGATCACTTACAGCAGCCTGATCGACGGGCTTTGCAAGACTGGCCAGGTGCGAGACGCTCAAGAGGTTTTCAAGAGAATGATAGTCCGGGGCATTGAGCCAAACGTGGTGACTTACAACAGCTTGATCCATGGCTTTTGCATGACCAACGGGGTAGACTCCGCACTTTTGCTAATGGAAGAGATGACAGCAACAGGGTGCCTTCCGGATATCATCACCTACAACACACTTATTGACGGACTTTGCAAGACGGGAAGGGCGCCGGAAGCGAACAGGCTGTTTGGAGACATGAAGGCCAAGTTTTGCAACCCGGATGTTATCACGTACAGCTGCTTGATCGGCGGGTTTTGTAAGCTGGAGAGAATCGACATGGCTCGCACGTTGTTCGATGACATGCTCAAGCAGGCAGTCCTCCCCGATGTCGTCACTTTCTCGACACTAGTGGAAGGATACTGTAATGCTGGACTGGTGGATGATGCCGAGAGGCTTCTGGAAGAGATGGTTGCCAGTGACTGCTCTCCGGACGTGTATACTTACACAAGCCTGGTCGACGGCTTCTGCAAAGTCGGAAGAATGGTGGAGGCGCGCAGAGTTCTCAAGCGAATGGCCAAGCGGGGATGCCAGCCCAACGTGGTGACTTACACCGCTCTCATTGACGCGTTCTGCAGAGCTGGGAAGCCGACGGTGGCTTACAGGCTGTTGGAGGAGATGGTTGGCAACGGCGTCCAGCCGAACGTTATCACGTACAGGAGCTTGATCGGTGGCTTCTGTGGGACTGGGGACCTGGAAGAGGCTCGCAAGATCCTCGAGAGACTGGAGCGCGACGAGAACTGCAAGGCGGATATGTTCGCGTACCGGGTGATGATGGACGGGCTGTGTAGAACAGGGAGAATGAGCGCAGCTCTGGAGCTTCTCGAGGCCATCAAGCAGAGTGGCACGCCTCCTCGCCACGATATCTATGTGGCGTTGATCAGGGGGCTGTGCCAGGGGAAGGAGCTCGGCAAAGCCATGGAAGTTTTGGAAGAGATGACGCTCTCGAGGAAAAGCAGGCCAAATGCCGAGGCTTACGAGGCGGTGATCCAGGAGCTAGCAAGAGAAGGGAGGCACGAAGAGGCAAACGCGCTCGCAGACGAATTACTTGGTAACAAAGGCCAGTAAAAAGAGATTGTAATCACAAATCCTGAATATTGTGTGAATACTATAGATGTTCTCCTGGTATGTTTCCTAAGGCTTTTGCAGAAATCAACAACAGTGGCCGTAAAACTTATGTTCGATACCACTCATTTGCTAGCGATAAGGCAAAGGCTATATTATCCATCGTGTCATAATAGAATGTCATTGACTTTTTCAACCCGTGAGAATTCTAGCATCTCTTTAGCAAAAAATGATTCCCTAGATCACATCCATAATAGATGGACCACCAGCATCACTTTTTCACCTGATTGTTAACTTTCATTTTTTCCTTCTTGATTTTTTTGAAAGTTCTTGATCGTAAGCCACAAATTTTTCATTTTTGTCTATTCAACCACGTTCCAATTTTTTTTAGCCTTATGTCTATTCAATTACGTACTACATGAACAACCAAAGGTTCCCACTTATTGTACCAATTCTTTCTTAGCCTTATGTAGATTCAACTACGTACTACATGAACAACCAAAGGTTCCCACTTATTGTACCAATTCTTTCTTAGCCTTATGTAGATTCAACTACGTACTACATGAACAACATGAGCAACACAAGCAAGAAAACAACCATTCAACTGTTCAGTTTCTATTTTTATTTATAAAGCCCTCTTTTACAGTTTAAAGTTCATGTAGGACTCTTCTTTCATGGCTGTTTCATCCATTGTGAGCATTTTCGCAGCAGAGAAAAGATATTCCATTCCACCAGTGTGTAAACTCCTTGCCTCTCCAGTGCTGAATCCTCTGTACGATGCAAAGGCCGAGTCTCAGATCAATGCGTGGTGCGCCGAGTTTCTGAAGTTGCAACCTGGAAGCGAGAAAGCTGTGTTTGTTCAAGAAAGCAGGCTTGGATTGCTCGCGGCTTATGTTTACCCGACCATTCCATACGAGAAGATTGTTCCGGTTGGAAAGTTCTTCGCTTGGTACTTTCTTGCAGATGACATTCTGGATAGCCCGGAGATCTCCTCGTCGGACATGAGGAATGTGACAACTGCATACAAGATGGTTTTAAAGGGAAAATTCGACGAGGCCACGCTTCCAGTGAAAAATCCGGAGCTGCTGAGGCAAATGAAGATGTTATCTGAGGTCTTGGAAGAATTGTTCCTCCATATAGTGGATGAATCAGGCCGATTCGTGGATGCTCTGACCAAGGTGCTCGACATGTTTGAGATTGAATCGAGCTGGCTTCGCAAGCAAATCATTCCCAACTTGGATACGTACCTCTGGCTGAGAGAGATCACATCTGGTGTTGCTCCTTGCTTTGCTCTGATTGATGGTTTACTGCAACTTAGGCTGGAGGAGCGTGGCGTGCTGGATCATCCTCTCATACGCAAGGTTGAGGAGATTGGGACGCACCACATTGCGCTCCACAATGACATGATCTCGTTCAGGAAGGAGTGGGCGAAAGGATACTACCTCAATGCCGTGCCCATTCTCGCCAGCAATTGTAAGTGTGGCTTGAACGAGGCAATTGGCAAGGTTGCGAGCATGGTGGAGGATGTGGAGAAGGATTTCGCCCAGACAAAGCATGAGATCGTTTCAAGTGGGCTTGCCATGAAGCAAGGAGTCATGGACTATGTGAACGGGATAGAGGTGTGGATGGCCGGAAACGTAGAATGGGCATGGACGAGCGCTAGATACCATGGAATTGGGTGGATCCCTCCTCCAGAAAAATCAGCGACCTTCCAACTCTAGATTGTTGCTCAAATAGTAATTAATAATTTCTCTCATGGAGTGTTTTAGAAATTCATATCTAAGCAGTGTTTTCGTCCTGAACAAGCAAATTGAAATGCACGGTAGATGTGGTAACATCAAGCATGCAGCTCAGATCTTCCATGGTATGGCCAAGAGGGACAAGTTCAGTTGGGATCTTTTGCTGGTTGCCTTCTGCAAAAACGGGCATTTTGATGAAGCGCGAAGGCTCTTCAGCTGCATGCCGTGCTGGAGTCTCGTGTCATTTACTGCTATGATTTCTGTTGCCTCCCAGAGAGGCCAAAGCAAGAAATACAATCTGTTACAAACTTGATGCCAGAGCACGATCTTTTCTCTGTAAACGCGGTGCTTTTTGCCTTTGCCGAAAATGGGCATCTTGATTCTGCCAAGGTAGTATTTAGCAAAATGCCTGCTCGCAACTTGGTGTCGTGGACGACGATGCTGGGGGCTTTATCTCAATTCGCGGATGTGGAAAGCACTTTTGAAGAGATGCCGGAGCACGATGTCGTCTCGTGCACTTGCGCAATTGCAGCATTCTCCCGTCACGGGCATCTGGAGTCTTCTCTGGAGCTCTTCCACGCCATGCGTGTGAGGAATTTCTCGACTTGCACCGCAATCCTCTCCGGCTACGTCCACTGCGGCCTCCTGAAAGAGTCCGAGCGCTTCTTTCACGATCAAATGCCACAGCACGATCTTGTCTCCGTCACAACGCTGCTCGTCGCCTACACCCAAAGCCAACGCCTTGAGGAAGCCAGCTGCCTCTTTGATTCTCTTCCGTACGTAGATGCCGTGTGTTGGAACGCCATAGCCACGGGACTTTCCCAGTGCGGCCTCCTGGACGAAACCACGAAAATCCTCGACAAAATGCCGGCATGGAATCTTGCAACCTGGAACACGCTGCTAACATCACACTCCTTGCAAGGGAATCTTACCGGGGCTAGAAGAGTCTTTCACGAAATGCCATACAAGAACTTGGTGTCGTGGAACGCAATGCTCTCGGCATATGCCCAAAACGGGCAGCTTTCTCTTGCAAGGAAGGTGTTCCAAACGATGCCCCTGCGCAGCGTTGAATCCTTCAGTGTAATGCTGACCGCATATGCCCAAGCCAGCAGCCCCAGCGACGTGTTTGATTCCTTCGAAGAGATGAAGATAGTGGAGATGCCCGACGATTCCTGCTTCACTTTGGTGCTGATGGCGAGCAGCCAAGTGGGCGAGCCCAATGTCGGCGGCTCCTACTTCAACTCCATGCGTCTGGATTACGGGGTGGCGGCGAGAAAGCAACACTACTGCTGCATCGTGGACATGCTGGGGCGAGCGGGATACCTGCATGCGGCGGAAGAGCTTGTGCAAACCATGCCTTTTCTTCCCAACTCGTGGGACTGGACGTCCATGCTAAGTTCTTCCAGAGGCGATAGAATCTGGAAAAACGGTGCTCGAGTGACGAAACGAGCTTTGCTTTCGGGCCCCAGCGATGGAGCTGCTCTTGTGCTGCTCGCACGCTCCTCATGATTCTTACTACTTTTCCGAAACTTTACCTCTATAAAATGGGTTATCGAATTTAGGGCCCCGCCTCTCCGACGCCGCGACGATGTGGTCGCGAGTTTGAATCGCTTCTTGGACATCTGGAAGGCGGCATCGGCCATCGGCCAGGTTTTATCCTTACTACCATTTCTCGTATTTTGGAGCTGAATCGCGTGATTCTAGAGGAGGCGCATTGCCATTGTTACATGTGTTAGGGTCATTGACAATTTCAGCTCGGGTAGTCGAGGAGCAGAGTGCGTTATTCTTTCTTCTCATTCTTTTTTTATGATTTTTTTTTTCAAGGCACTTCCTTGCAAGTGACTGCTGTGATTTTCCTTCATCGGAGGCAAGCAGCACTCTTTTTTTCTTTTGCAAATGGTGATGCTACTTTCGTGAAATACTTTTTAGAGGATCTATGCAGCCATTTTGCCGCTCGCTGCCGGCTAATCCCATACAAGAATGTCTCGAGCCTGTGGATGGATCAATCCGGGGTAAGCGAAATCTGCCTTTTATTTCTTCGAGAGTTTAACTCCCGCTTCGCAGCACGAGAAAAATGGTTTGATGCTGTCACTCGGGCAGTCACAGGACATAGCTCAGTTCTTGTTTCTCTTCTTGAGTTCTTAAGAATCAAAACAGGCGGTGCTCCAGAAGAAGCTCTTGAAGCTCGAGTTCACTACGCTCTTCGAGTACCTCCAAGTAAGAAACGTGCCGCGCAAACTCTGGTTTGTATGACGGTTTTTCGTGGCACATTTTAGAAGATTGTTGGAGCTGCCATGAAACCAGTTGGCAGGCATGCTATGTTTTACTTTGCAGCGGCTGTCTCCGACTTCTACGTCCCCTGGAACTCCATGGTAAGAACTTCTCGTCTTCTCTCGTTTTGTTTTCGGTGGAAATCTCAAAAATAATCTTCTCTATCCAGATGGAGCACAAGATCCAGTCGGATGACGGCTCGATGACAATGCAGCTCGCTCCGGTTCCAAAGATGCTTGGATTGTTACGAAAGCATTGGGCTCCGGAGGCCTTTTGCGTCTCGTTCAAGGTTTTTCATTTCCTCTTTACTCTTCTCCTCTATAGCAGCTCAATCGAGCAAAGTTTTATATCGTATCAGCTGGAAACGGACGTGGACATACTCCTCAAGAAAGTACGCTCGTCGCTTTGCAAGTATGGCATGCACGCGGTGGTCGGCAACGAGCTCGACACGAGGAAGAACAGGGTCGTGATTGTGACAAGAAAAGTAGAGATGGTTTTGGAAAAGGGTGACTGCTCCGACATAGAGTTGCCGCTGGTGAATTTTCTGGTCGGCCATGTATCTCCAGCAGCAACAAGCATGAATTTGGCAGCAGCACGAGAGCCTTGCGCTCGTCCCATCAAATCCTCCACAGGTCAAGTCCACTCACTCGCGAGTTCTTCCTTGTCTCAAACACTTGCCGGCTCCCAGGTCTTCCTCTCCAATCTCCTCATATAAATGTATGGAAGATGCGACCGATGCTCTCTTGGTTTTTGAGGGGTCTTGTTTGATCTCTTGTTCTTGGCATATGCCCAAAACGGACATCCACAAAGGTCACGGACGGCCATGTTGGTATTATACGCACGGAATGGCCACCTTGGCGATGCCATGGGTCAGAGACATTGTGGCCAACTGTGGCATATGCATCTTGTTAAAGAGCTTAAAATTTCTAGAGAGATGCTCAAAGAATCTTGTAGGGGGCATCTTGTTGGCGCCAAGTTCAGCGCGAGGGATGTTTGAAGTGATGCTTGAGCGAGATCTCGTGTGGAGCGTGATCTCGTGTCCTTGGCCAGAGTCTGTGGCATCTGATGAGCAGTAGAATAGGCGGACAAGCTGTCCTTGAAATCCCTTGCTAGTGCTTCTTACAAATGCTCAGCTAATTTCTTATGCCGAGCGGGGCAATTGGATCCGCTAAGCTTTCCTTTGATGCTATGCCGGGAAGGGATCAAGTATCCTGGAATGCTAAAATTTTTGTGCCGGGCATTGTCACTGTCGAAACTGATGCTTGATAGTGTTCCTTATCATATTGGAATGCAATGTTATCAGCAGCATCTTCAGTTTTCCGAATCAGTTTCTTTCATCAAATGCCAGACGTGTCTTGGAATGCAATGTTTTTCCTCATGCTTGCTTGGGATGTTATTTCCTTCAACACCTTATTGGGCAGTATGCAGCTTGGAGGGAAACAAAGTATCGTTTTTCAAGCTGACACCCTTTGGTCAGTTGGATCCAATTGACTTAGGGTGTGAAGGATAAGATTTTAACAGTTCTTTTGGACCATGATAGCTGAGTCTATTGCTGGACTCACTATAACGAGGGAATGTGTTAATCTTCTTATGTAAAAGTGTTCATATGTGTGGAGGTTGTACTTGCTATGTAAACCCTTCTCCATCAAACTTGCGGATGGATGCCTTTCCTTCTATAGTGCTATCCCAGCTCCGATACCATGAGACAAATCGGGATCAAAGCGCACCGCGCTAGCGGACAGAACAGGAAAACCCTAATGTCTACGTGGTGAGGGTGTGTCGTGTAACAATCCTGACTTGCCTGTGTTGGAGCCACGAGAACGTTGAGCCCGTTGCCACACTTATGATCGTGTTGAGCACCATGGGAGCAGCGCAAAAGTTGGTCATGTTGTGCTCGGCTATGGTGACAAAGATTCCTTTGGCCGTCACCTGTGGAAACGAGGAACTTTACTGCTATACGAGTGTAAATGAAGAGATGAGGAAAAGCAAACCTGGCGAAGACATATGTTGGTCCTGGCCAGAGCTGCGACTGCCCAAGGAAAGCACCACCCATTGCAATGGAAGAGCAGGAGAGTCCAGAGATAGATGCATGGCAAGCTTAAGCTGGCTTCACATCTTATTCTGGAAGAGGTCAGTTGTAGAATTGTGGAAGAAGACATAGAATAGAAGACATTTTTTTGCCTATACAGAGATTGAGGATGTGGCAGTGGTATGAAAGTCGAAAGTTCTCATTGTTGCTCCCCTGGATGTGGGATGTGGGATCTCAAAAGGACAGGCAGTGATCTGGTGAACCTTGTTGGAAGATAGAGAGTTCTTTTTTTCTTTTTCTAATGAACAGCTTATCATTTGCAGACATTTTCCAGGAGAATGACAAATGCCACCGAGTTGCTTCAGAGGGGCACAAGTTTCGAGATGCATGAATGTGGGTACAGTAAACATGCTGATTTTGTTCCGTTTCAAAGTGTCACTTGAGTTATTTCTTCTCACAGCTCGATCATCTCCAGGAAATGGTCCCATTCCGCAAGGAAGCTAGTAGCATAGCTTAAGTCTCCAATGTGGAAAATTGCATCTACTACCTCTTTTGCCATGGCATCAATAACTTGCAGTGCACCAGGCTGCAAACATAAATAGTTCAGGAGTGTGAATGCAATGTGTGAATGGTAATTTTTTCTTCTTGCTATCTCTTGCAATATGAGAGGTCATGTTTCTGTGCATAGGGGAGAATATCATCCAGCCGTGTGGGCTGGGAAGTATGTGAATAGCTGGCAGACATCATTTGACATGAAAGACAGATGGCCACAGTAAAGTTCTTCTTCTTTTTCCCTTTTCTGACTAGTTTCGCTTGTAGAATAGACTTGCTAGTGGATGACAATAATTTGTGGGCATCTCACACTGGTCCCAGAGGCTGGAACGGTGAGATCAGTGGTTAGCTTTGCATAAATTTCTCAAGTTTTCTCTTTTAGATCCCGATATGCTCCAAGTGGGGAATGGTCAAATGTCCTTGGCTGACTTTCATTCACATTTTAGCATTTGGTCTATCATGAAGGTGTAAGCAATTAAATTTTCCATTCTACTTTAGTCACTTAACCACACCTCTGACCACTTGGAGGAATCTCATTCACAACTTCCTTAAGTTCAATTCAGGACTTGGGATTTGCTAGTCCCGAGAATGGCATCCATGCCACTCAACCCTTGCACTTGGTCCAAATGCTCCACGTGTCCAGTCCCAAGACTGACACCCAAAGGTACCACTAACATATTGGCCTGTTACGCCAAGGCCATGCCCATTCACTTTTGCCACACTGGTGGTACAATACCACTTGCATCACAATCCCGTCTCTCCAAGACTGGGCCGTCCGTCCATGAGTGGTCATCCCAGATCCACTCCTTAGCATCTTTAGGATGCCTGCAGACATGGGAAACAACCTTCCCCAATATCCCTTTAACAGTCCCCACCAAGATCCTTTTCTGTGCATGGCCATATTCACCAACACTACCACTGGATCAAGGCCCACAGGCCCAACCACTAAGTCCCACTGTCCTTTGGGACTTCCTCACCACATGACCGTGTCATTGGTCACCAGAGGATCACTGCTCTTCCCTTCCATAGTCTGGGACTTTGGGACATCATTTTGGAACACCGCAGCCCTATGCGGGCCTCCTGGGTGCTCTCCCCACCTTCTGTCTTTGGGTGCTCTAGCCATGGGCTTAGAGCGAGGTTCCGTTGAGCCACGCTTAGTATCCAAGTAGGTAGTGCCACCCACACTTGGACTGGGAGCATCGGCCAGTCGATCTCCCGGGGGAACTAAAGCCGGCTCTTGAACACTTCACCAGACTACCCCGCTTGTCGGTCCGTATTCACTCTAGTCTTAGACTTCCCAGTGGTCAGTTCATCACCCAATACTGGGTCTAGCCTTCCTGGGCCAAACTGGCCTTTCCTGGCCAAACTGGCTCCACTGCAATCCTCCCCCTTACTATACTTTTGGAGCTCACCAAACCCCCCAGAGTTTGGGAGACGAGCACTTTGGGCTTTCACCCTCTTAGACTCAAACTTGGACTTGGACTCGGACTCGGACTCGGACTCGGACTCGGACTCGGTCTCGGGCTCGGCCTCGGCCTTGGTCTCGGTCTTGGTCCCGGTCCCGGTCCCGGTTGCAGTCTCGGTCTCAGTCTCGGTCCCGGTCTCGGTCCCGGCCTCGGTCTCAACCTCGGACTCCATCTCGGGTCCTTCTCGAACTCCATCTCGGACTCCGTCTCAGACTCCATCTCGGACTCCGTCTCGGTCCATCTCGAACTCCATCTCGGGTCCATCTCGGACTCCGTCTCGGTCCATCTCGAACTCCATCTCGGGTCCATCTCAGACTCCGTCTTGGACTTCATCTCGGACTCCATCTCAGACTCCATCTCAGACTCCATCTCAGACTCCATCTCGGGTCCATCTCAGACTCCATCTCAGACTCCATCTCGGTCCATCTCAGACTCCTTCTCGGACTCCATCTCGGACTCCATCTCGGGTCCAACTCGGACCCCATCTCGGACTCCATCTCGGACTCCATCTCAGACTCCACCTCGGGTCCACCTCGGACTCCATCTTGGACTCCATCTCGGGTCCATCTTGGACACTTCCATGTGTCATGTGTTAGTCCTTTTTGGGTCCCTTTTTAGAGCCTTGCTTATTGCTTGTTTCGTGCTCATTCCTCGAGCACTTTGTTGGGAGTTCCACTCCCGCTCTCGACCTATCAAGTTGGAGCTTTTAGTCCAAATGTGTTACGCTCGTTTGGCTTTCGCTTCGGCCACTACCACGTGGCACCCTTCCGGCTCCACTTTGGGGCCTAGGGATTTTGTGTCTCACAGAAGGTTTGCATGCTCATTTATCATTAACCCAGACTATAGTACCTTGCCTCAAGCACCTCTCATCATTGGCTATGAGTTGAGAACAATCACGAAAGAACACTTTGAAATTTACAAGAACACTAAGATAATAGTGGTAAATTAAGGTAAGTTTTTGAAGATTAGAGCTATTGCTTTTTTAATATTTTTCTTTTGATATGTAAAATACAAGGACGCAAAGTGAGCCGAATAGGACAGTCAGAGTTAATTACTTCTTGTTTGAGACTGACGAAGTATTGTGTGATCACTGTAGCACACCTTATCTCTCTCCCCTTAATGTTTGACACTGACAAAGCATTGTGTGATCACTGTAGCACACTTTATCTCTCTTCCCTTAATGTTTGACACTGACAAAACATTGTGTAATCACTGTAGCATACTTTATCTCTCTCCCCTTAAGCCAACTAGAAAAGGGGCAATTACTTGATAAGAGAGCCATTAATGGCTATTTTATCCCTATTTATCCCCCAAGGTTCCAAGGATCCACGATGACAGTATATTCAAATCTCATCCCATGATCACATGCGCTACACTCACCCCCCCTTCAGAGATGTCAATGTCCTCATTGACTATTGACTAATGTAGACCAGCTGAGCCAAGAGTCCTCGTCCTTTATGCTAGTCAATGTCCTCATTGACTATTGACTAGCGTAGACCAGCTAAGCCAAGAGTCCTTGTCCTCATTGACTATTGACTAGCATAGACCAGCTGAGCCAAGAGCCCCCTTCAGAGAGGACATTGCCCTTCAGAGCTGTCAATGTCAGTGTTAGTCTACAGACTCTATATCAGAGCTGTCAATATCAGTGTTAGTCTATAAACTCTATATCAGAGCTGTCAATGTTAGTGTGTAGAAACTAGTCTACAGAAGAAGGCAACTAGTCATCCACCCGTACCACAGTCCCACACAAGAGGAAGGATGTACTGCACCCGTACCACAGTCCCACACAAGAGGAAGGACGTACTTGCCCTTCAGAGCTGTCAATGTCAATGTTAGTCTATAGACTCTGTATCAGAGCTGTCAATGTCAGTGTTAGTCTATAAACTCTATATTAGAGCTGTCAATGTTAGTGTGTAGAGACTAGTCTACAGAGGAAGGCAACTAGTCATCCACCCGTACCACAGTCCCACACAAGAGGAAGGACGTACTGCACTTGTACCACAGTCCCACACAAGAGGAAGGCACACAAGAGGAAGGATGTACCGCAATTACTGCAGTCCTATGGTGGATACCTTCATCCGTGGATACTCCACACAAGAGAATGGACGTACGTATGGATATCCAATACGTATAATTTCAAATTTAGAGGTAGGTATATTTTCACAATTTAAGGGTAAAAATATACCTTGCTCAAGGGTATATTATATTTTTAAGTAGCTACTAATCAATGGGAATCGAACTCGTGCCATTTGCTCCGATACCAACTGTAGCACACCTTATTTCTCTCCCCTTAAGCCAACTAGAAAAGAGGTAATTGCTTGATGAGAGAGCCTTTAGTGGCTATTTTATCCCCATTTATCCCCAAGGTTCCAAGGATCCACAGTGATAGTATATCCAAATCTCATCCCATGATCACATGCGCTACAATCACGTAGGCCCTTCGCGATAGAATTGTCATGGTAGCATGAAACAAAGGGTGGAAGCGAGTATTAATCAGGAACAACTGTAAATTGAATCAACTATGACAACAAATATGAAAAATTTGCAAAAGGTACACAATATGTTACACAATTCACAATTGATATATATCTTTGTGCTGTGTGGGTTATAGCACGAAGATTAGACTTCAAGGTAGGAGGATGGTTTTGAAGTGGAAATAGATTCCCACAACTGTGGGGTGTATATCTTGTCCAACATTTCCATGGTAGAATTGTGCTTTAATAGTGGAAGATGAACATGGGATGCCAATACCACTGATTTGTAGTTAAAAAGTGGATTTTAAATTGATTTTCCTTCTTCATTATAATATGTGTTTTGTCAAGGATTTTGCAAATCCTTACATAAAATGCCTCAATGATTGGAGAGCATAAATTTATGTTGCTAAATACAGGAACGACAAGGGTTGCATTCATACAGCAACCATGTCGCAAATCTACATCAAGCAGAAAAACCTCTAGCTTTGGTTTCTTTGAAAAAAATGAGTCTCGGAAGCATACCCCCATGCGCATTTGATTGAGCCCCCATTGGCAGTCACTGAAAGGTAACCATTGTTCACTACTGTGGGATCCAGGCAGCTTTCCAGGCTTCGCTGGCGGCGATTCTGTGGTAGTGGTGAAGATCTATGCTCGAGAGGCGAGCCAGATGATGCTAGATGTGCTGGGGGAATCTGAATTGGAAAGATGAACAATTTCGGCCGGGCAGAGAGCTTTCCTCTGCCGCTGGGAACATCGTGCTACTCCAATATTTTCTTCAGTAACAAGAGCTTCGGCAGATTTCTCTCAAAGGTGAAATCCTCGCTCCTGGATATTTCTCTGACATTGTTGCTGGGCGGCCAGAGGAGAAGGCACTGGAGGCGATGCATATGCTTGTGCAGGCGTTTTAAACGTCTTGGACAGTGAGAAGGGTGTGAGGGCCTTCGTGCCGCTGCTAAAGTCCCAGGAATTGCTCAAGGAGCTCTCTTTTATGAACAATGGGATCTCCATTGTGCTGCATGGGAGATCGTCACCACCACCATCTCTCTCAAGCTCTTCCACTTCCACAACAACTTGACCGGTGATCAAGGAGCCAGATCTCTCACCAGGCTCATCGAGAAGGTTGTCCAGCTCGAGAACTTTCTCTTCTCATCGACTGGAGTTGGGTGGCACTGGCTTCAGCCATCGCTGGTGGATCCAACCTCAAAGTTCTCAACTTGAGAGACAACAGGTCCTGGAGGTGGTGCTGTGCTTGGAAAATTTCAATCATGATAAATCTACATACCGTGCCATGAAAAACCCAGATTTTGTACATATTAAAGAGCGCTCTACATTTCCCTGGCGCTGCTGTTGTTGTCACATATGCAACCAGGAAATGGGTTGTCAAATAAATAGTCTTTGTGCTTTGGGACAAGAGTGGGAACTCTTAGAGCTGGACCTGTCCTCACTTTGTGCAGCATTTTCACTTGAAACGCAAATTCATCCCAAGACATATTCCCAGCTCCATAGCTATCAATGAGCCAAATAAGCTTTCACCTGGAGGAGAGTGGAATGAGTTAGAGAATTAGAGAAACTATAAATGTAGAATGAAGCCATGTTTCCATCATGCGTGAACATGAAGACATCGCTCTCAAGTGCAACTGCATCATCCACAGCCGAGAGCCTGTTTTGGTACCTGGCAGTTGAAAGCTCCTCATAAATTGTCAATCTTGAATGTGAGTACACACGATCTTCAGTGACCTATCTATGTGAAATCAGTGATAGTCTGTCTACTACTGGCAATTCCTGTCATATGATTTCTTGTGTTCTTGTAACTACTGTTAGTAGAGCAGTGAGACAAAAAAAAAAAAAAAAACAAACAAAAAAAAAGGGGTTTAATGTGTAAATGTGAGCAACATTGGAAAAACAATGCATACTTTGTAAGGCCCTTTTTTTATGATGGAAAATGTTTTCAATTATAATTGTGACGGGAGAATAACAACTGAAAAATCACATCCTTTTCCAGTCTTTCTCCAAAGACTATTAAATTTAAAGATTTAATACAAAATTAGAGTAGTGGTGCAAACATCAAAGAGATTGCAGTAGGTGGCCCTAATTATTTTAAGATATATGAACAAATTTAACCATCAAACCGAATAATGAAAAATATTTACAATTATATATTTCAGATACCTCTTGGGCAACATAAATAAGAATGAAAAACAAACACAATTCTAAATGCAATGAGCAACTAATAAGTGATCTTGATAAATAATTAAAGAGATAAATCTCTATGCTAATGCATTCACAATATTGTGGAAAATAGAGAATAAAGTGTTAAATTCAACAAAAATTTAAGGATGTTTAAGTGATATTGTTTTATATATATATATATATATATATATATATATATATATATATAAAGAAATTAGATAACTGATCCCAAGATGATACAATGCACCAGGTTCAAATTATTTTAAATCCCAAACCCTAAACAAAAATAATTTTGTTGTACAAAGACGGTATTTATTGATGAATATTTCTTATTATATCTACTATATACCATATTTATACAACAAAATTATGTTTAATTTTAATAATATAGTACCGAATCAATGAAATACTCTTTCAGGGAGGGCTGCCTACTTGAGCATGTCATCGAACAACGTGCAAGCCATGTTGATCCTATCCAGCTTACAAAACCCACCAATCAAGCAGCTGTACGTGATAACATCTGGATTGCAAAACTTGGCCTTCATTTCTCCAACAGCCTGTTCGCTTCCAGCACCCTTCCTGTCTTGCAAAGGCCGTCAATAAGTGTGTTGTATGTGTTGATATCCAGAAGGCACCCTGTTGCTGTCATCTCTTCCATCAGCAAAAGTACGGAGTCTACCCTGTTGGTCATGAAAAAGCCATGGATCAAGCTGTTGTAAGTCACCATGTTTGGCTCAATGCCCCAGACTGTCATTCTCATGATAATCTATGGAGGATGAAGCTAGGGTTGTGTTGTTTGCAAGTGGTTGTCGTTCAACTCACTATGGTCACTAAAGCCAAAGTTCTAAATGGAGTTCCAACATCTTGCAATATTGTATGTATCAACTTTATATTCTTCGCACCACTAACGATACCACTGAGTGCTCAATTCTCCTTAAGCTCATTGAGCGCCAACTCAATCACTATGGGCATCTTGTCTTTAACAACATGTGGTACTTTTAACAACACTTGACTAATGCATATGAATAGACATCAAACTTTTAAAATGCACTAAATGCAAAAATTATGTATATACTACAAGGTTTTATGCTTGCTAAACACTCAAGGATTTTAAAATCACTTTTTATAACACTTTATAACCTCTTATACACTTACTATATATTAGATGTTGTTCTCCATTCAAGTAAAAATTTCTCAATCAAAAGAGATGATTAAACATGAAATATAAGCATAAACCAACAAAAAGCTTTAAAAAAAGACCTTTAAACTTTTTGTAGAAATCATGAAACCAAACTCTAAAAACATGTATAACAATCTTGTAAAAAAGTAAATTTAAAAATCTCACTCAAATACTCTCAAAACACTCACTAAATCTAACAAACACATATCCAAATAAAAAATATAAAGATTTTGTAACTGCCAATTCCTAAAAAAAAAATTTAGAGCTCGTTGAAAAGCTTTATCTAAGATTTATCTAGCCATGTAAGAAAGATTTATCTGCATTACTTAGAATTGCATGAGAATGCCTTAGACATTTTTTACACTCTAAATAAAAGAACCTAAGTGAAAAGCTCTATATATTATTTGATCTTGGATTAAAACTCACATATAAAGACTCTAGAAAAAGCTTACAAATAAATCTATCTGACAAGTTAAAGAAAGATTAAAATTGTTAGAATTAAAGTTAGCTCTTAAATACTTCACTAATTTATCCATCAATATTTACTTTAGCTTTAGACTCTCTAATTCTTATATTATCACCCACTATATAGGTATAATCGACATTAGTTTTCCTAGAGTAATCCCCTTTTATTATTCCATATAAATTTACCAAAACCCTGCGCTCCTCCTAGGGTTTGGGAGAGCACAAAGGACCTGCCAACCCTAAAAGTGGTTTCATTCATTTAAGGAACTGATTGCTTTGCCCCCTGAATATATTTAGCCCTAGATACTTTAAACATTTAATTTTTCGGTGAGATAGTTTTGACAGGATCTTGTTATCCATCTTAGAGAAGATTATTTTTGAGATTTCCACCAACAAGAGAAGACGAGAAGTTCTTACCATGGAGTTCCAGGGGATGTAGAAGTCGGAGACAGCCGCTGCAAAGTAAAACATAGCATGCCTGCCAACTGGTTTCATGGCAGCTCTAACAATCTCTAAATCTGCCACGAAAAACCATCATAGAAACCAGCGTTTGCACTGCACATTTCTTACTTGGAGGTACTCAAAGAGCGTAGTGAACTCGAGCTTCAAGAGCTTCTTCTGGAGCACCGCCTGTTTTGATTCTTAAGAACTCAAGAAGAGAAACAAGAACTGAGCTTACAGAATGATGTCCTGTGACTTCCCGAGTCACAACATCAAACCATTTTTCTCGTGCTGCGAAGCGGGAGTTAAACTCTCGAAGAAATAAATGGCAGATTTCACTTACCCCAGATTGATCCATCCACAGGCTCGAGACATTCTTGTATGGGATTATCCGGCAGCGAGCGGCAAAATGGCTGCATAGATCCTCTAAAAAGTATTTCATGAAAGTAGCCATTTGCAAAAGAAAAAACAGAGTGCTGCTTGCCTCCGATGAAGGCAAATCAACATCATAGTCACTTGCCAGGAAGTACCTTGCAACAAAAAAAAAAGAAAAAATCATAAAAGAAGAATGAGTAGAAAGAATAACGCACTCTGTGGAGGCTGCTCCTCGACTCCCCGAGCTGAAA